CTATACTGTTAGGTAGGGTTATGGCTTTTTTAGACTAAGGTTTAGGGTCCAGGATTAGGGTTACATTTAGGATTATGGTTAGAGTTAGGAGTGGGTTGGAGAATAGTGTCAGAAATATCCATGGACCTTAAAGTACTATGACCTGCAGTCAGGTGGATGAATGCATCTATCGCTCATGATATGATTTCTTAATAGATCATCTGTGTGGTGACTGGGAGACATTGTGATAACACATAAGCGAAAACTATATAGTGTGATGTTATGTCTGCAATATTTCTTAGTGTATTTTCCAACGATTATGCTACTTTTCTGGCATTCTGATTAGTTAGAGAAGGGTATCCTGTGTAACAGTGTCATGCCTTTTAATTCTTGATTATTTTCATGCATGTTTATATTTGATACATACAAATATCGCCTTTATCATGTGATTGGTGCGTTCAAGATATCATTTTTTTCGTTGGTACTTACTGGTGCTTAAAGTTTAACTTTGCCAATATTCTATTGTTGTCATGGTGACTAGTTTTGTGCTATATACACATTGAGTAATTGTTTGGTTTATAATTGATCTCTCTTCATTTTTCTAATATTTGATGAAAACTGCACAATGGAGACATTTTCTTAATGAACCAATCTGAGATAGAATGTTTAATAATAATAATAGTGTAATGATGCCTGAAGATGTGTGCTCTTTAAATTATCGATTCCAATACGCCATCGATGATTAACCTACAAGTGTCAACTACCGACTGACTGTTAATTACACTTTAGACATTGAGGGCTTATTATTAATGTTTCCTTTAGTTTCTATAGGAACATATGGCTTCAGCTACACGTCTCCATTGCATTCGGTTCCCCGCCAACGTTTTCACTTCTACCCACATGCTTTCATCTCCTCTTCGCATGACCTCCTTCTCCATGTCACCCTCGCACCGAGTGCCAACTCACCGCTTCCCATTCGGGTTCCATTCGGGTGATGGCACTTGATGGTTTGTTTTCTCAGAGTATGGCCAAACCACCTCCATTTCTTCCTGCATATTGGTTGCACAATTGGTTCCTACTGGGTTGGTTCATTGCCAGGGAGAGATTCTTGTTGTTGATCTTTTTTGGCTGGCCATCTGATCTTGAACGAAGTATTGAGCGAAGACAGTTGTTGATGAAGGTTTGTAGTTTGTTTGAAGTGCCGTTTGTGACACGGCGCCAAGTCTCTGATCCGTATAGTGAGTAGCACTGACTACACATTGGGGTTGAAAATCCGGATGTTATTTTTCATGCTGAGTGCTGTTGATCTCCATACAGACTTGAGAGTAACGAAAGCTTGCCTTGCTTTCTCGATGATCCTCGCTTTGATGTGCTCATCAGTTCCGTCCGCCTGTAGTTGAAACGACGATGCTTCCCAGGTAGGTCGGTAGGTAGCTGAAGGATGTTGCTTCTTTCAGATTCCTCCCATTTATGCTGGCTGGTTGTTGTAGCTGTTGCTGTTGGCTAGGAATCTTCATCACCTCTGTTTTCTCTATGCTCATCTCATGGAAGTCCTGAAGCTCTCCTGAATCCAGCCTGTTCCGATCGAAGTTTTTCATCCAAGGTGTGTTCGATTCTCTCCAGGATAATGCGACTTAGTATTTTGCTTGGGATAGACAGGAGCATAAAATGCCGCGCCAATTCCTGTATTGATACAAGTTTTGTTATATATCTAGATGAAATATACAATTTTGCGAATTAACTATCACCACAGTTTACATACTTTGGAAACTGAGATTATTCAAATCTGCTTGATACCCCAACTGGTGGTCGAGAAAGCAAGCATAGACATACGATACTACTACTATATACTACTGACTGATTGGTATAGTTGTTTTGAATACACCGTTGACATGAACAGATCAAAGTGGTCAACACACTGAATTGAATGAAGTTTCGTTCGTCGTGAGTCTAAGCTTATCACTGTGTTCTAGTGTTAACTGAACTCAGAGAGCCGAGTCGGTTCACACCTCACCCGACTGTGCTAGCTAGCCACTTAGGCGCGAACTAGATTGGTGTTGATGTGATACTTGCTACCTTGATGATCATTTATCGTATCAAACAGATCACTTATTGTGATTCTGGATAATTTCAGTCTCCAAAGGAAACTGTGGTGAAATTTCACCACTCGAATTGTGTGAAATAACAAATCTGATCTAGTGTTGTATTACCAGTTCACTGGAGTAGCTAGCTAGCCAGTATTCATGTTGCTTAAAGTGATCCGGCTCTCTTAGCTAAGTCAGTCTAACTGGCTACACCATTAGTGGTGGTGGGTGGTCTAGCTCGCAAACGAGCGAAACGACCGTCTAGCCTTTAAATCATTTTGATCTGGCTAGTAAGCACTACTGATTGATGTCCTGTTATAGGACTCACTAAATATTGCACAACTGTTTGTCTAACATTGGTGTTCACGCTGATATGGCTGTCGTGAGGCCGATTGTTAATGTGTATGGAGCTGATGGCGCACCTACGCCTTGCAACAATCAAAATGCCAGCAGTATTTTGTGCTCCGCTTCGCATGGATATTTTGAACTTCGTTCATAATCAAATGCGCAAGAATTCAAGACAATCTTTTGCAGTTGGTACCAAGACTGGTTATCAAACCTCTTCTGAGTTTTGGGGTACTGGCAGAGCTGTTGCTCGTATCCTCAGAGTACGTGGTGGTAGTACCCATCTGTCAGGCCATGGAGCTTACTGAAATATGTGTCGAGGTGGGCATATGTTTGTTCCTACCAAGACGTGGAGAAGGTGGCACAAGAAAATAAGTGCACAACAAAGATGTTACGCTATTTGTACTGCTATTGCAGCTACTGGTGTTCCGTCTTTGTTCATCGCCCGCGGTCATCGTTGTGATTGTGTTCCAGAGCTCCCTCTTGCTGTGTCAAACGATATGGAGTCGATAAAGAAAACTAAAGATGCTGGGAAGGTGCTTTAAGCAATTCGGGCTTCACCTGATATCAAGAAAGTCTACAACTCTCAGCGCTTCAGAGAAGGAAAGGGTAAAATGATGAATCGACGTAGTATTCAGAAATGTGGTCCGATTGTTATTTACAAAAAGGATGACGGAATAACTCGTGCATTGAGAAACATTCCAGGCGTGACTTTGATTAACGTCAAAGCTCTCAATCTGCTGAAGCCTGCTCCAGGTGGTCATATAGACCGATGGGCTCTTAGACAGCTGGACAAAATTGATGGGACTTGGAAGTCAGAAGGTGTTAAGATGACCAGTTTCCATTTTCCAATGGCGAAAATGACAAACTGTGACCTTGAAAGGCTTCTACAATGTAGAGAAATTTCGTCGGTTGTCAGGTCCAGGGGTATGCATTCGCAGTGTCCAGGTCTGAAGGTTAAGAGGAATCCACTTAAGAATCATCAGACCTTGTTAGAAATGATCCTTCCACAGGCAAATCTTCTCATCTCAGTTTCTGTTATACTGAATGAGAGGGAAAAGGAGAGAGTGAGTAGTTGGTGAATTGTTGATTTAGAATCCTATCATAAACCAAGTTTTCATTACAAAACACTCATACTGAGTCTACTTTAATTGTTAGGGTCATGTGTAAGACACCTGTAGACTGATTTAAGCAATATATGTGTTTGAGATCTTCAAAGCTTTGATATTTGATAATTGATAAGATAGCTTAATTTCAACAAAGAAAGAAAGATTAAATTTCCAGTATAAAATAATATCATTCAAAGGTTCTCATCTCCTGCAAGCTACCTGAAACTACAGTGGTTGTAAAGAATGACAATGACATTAATGTTAGCATCCGAAATATAAGCAGTACAAATTTTAGTTTAAGTTACCACCAATAACGGTGGAGGAAGGATTAGGCTTTATTGAGAAATGACTAAGGGAAGAAAAAGGGAACCAAAGGGATGTATCATAAAGTATAGCAAAGACTAGGACGCGAAAACGAAACACCTAGTTGTATGACAAGGGGAAGTGTTCATTCGTCTGCCATTCAAAGGAGAAGCAGTATCACAAACTATTAACAAGGGAATGAAAAGAGCAATAAAAAGATGCTTCCCTGCAGCTAATCTAGTAACGCTATACAGAACCACATGCTGTATAAGCCGATCCGAACAGAATAAGTATCCCACTGATACTACCTCCAATTGCGTGTAAAAATTTTTTGTGTATTTGCGAGAGCAATTACATTGGAAGGACAGAAAGAATGGCTTTTATCCGGTTTTCAGAGTATATTCCAAGAAACATATGTCTTGGGGGAAGCAGATTTTTTGCAAAGTGCAACTACCAGACACTTTGTGTTGGATCCGGGTCATTTCATCGAGATTTCCAAATCCCTCAAAAAATTAAATACAAATTTAACTACGATTTGCTGTATCAGCTGCAATCAAACGTCTCAAAGCAAAGTTATGCTTATAGAAAGAGGGTATAGTCAATCTCTCACTACCCTGTTATAACTACATTTTGATTACACTGATTAGTCATCCATATTAGTGATTGCAACTCATTGAGCAAGTTTTCAACTTGATGAACTTTAACCTTCTTGAGTTGTTTTATGAAACCTACAAGCTAACACTATTTATCAGATTTTCTTCCGTTTTCTATCTCGAAGGCGATATATAGTAGCACAAATGCATTGTAGGTACATAAATTTGGTACACCTTATCTTTAAGTCTTCATTTGCATGTCATTTGCGAATTGGTCGAATATCACCACATTCGATAACTTCTTGGATACTGCACAGTATTTGTAACGTTCTTCTCACGGTTCTCTTCTTCGACTGCTTTTTCCAGTGCCCTGAAACATATTGTTACTTTTCTGAATTCGTTTGCTGATATACTACTTATATGTGATTATAAGTAGCGCTCACTGCACTACCATTCAAACATTGACGATCGTTATCTCTATCATGGAAATTAATAATTAAAAAAAGCCGAGTCCACTTTAGATTTCTGTTGTATTGATGTTGTTTTTTTTACTGATTTTTTGTTTAATTTTGTATAAAATATTTTAGGTGAATTTCCTCAAGGATGTGATGCATTTAAATCAATTTCATCAAATATTCATATCGAAGAAAGTGGATTGAGAGCAGATTCTGGTGTACTAGAAATTTCTTATACTCAGGTATGTTTTCTTTTCAATTTTAAAGAGTATCTAGTAATGACTTCTTATAACTCTGTAAGTGGTGATGAATATGCTCTAATCATTGGTTTTAGCGTGCATGGATTCCAGCCATTTTGGTCCCATTGTGTGAAACTTCCCTCTCCCACTTATGCCTGTCTAACTAGGTAGTATTGTGGCGTATGCTACTGAGGTGGTTTGCAAGATGGCCACCATTCTAGGTGTGTTGCCGTCACGGTGCACTGCACTGTGTATTGTTAATATTAGATGGTTGGACGCAATCAGGAGGAAGCCTTGCTTGACCTAGATTTCGTGCTATTTGACACTCACCAGTCAGAAAGGCGTATCTGTAACCTTCAATGAACTCATGTCCCTCCTTCTGAGCATCAAACCCAGTGTCACCCAGTGCTGCCTACAGCCAGAGACTTTACCACTGAGGAGCTATTCGGGCTAGCGATTGCCCTTCTGTAGGACTGACTGTATTGGATACTCTGATTGGACACTAGTTATAGTAACGAGAGTAATGTGTCTAGTTCTTTGTTTGGTGCAGGCTTGAACTCTATCAGTCGTGTTTGCAATATGGCCAGTATGCAGATATGCCTTGCTGATTGACTGACTGGTGAATGCCAACTAGCATTAAAGCCTAGGTGGAGTGAGGCTTCCTACCGATTGCCTCCAACCAACAAGGCTTGATCTTGATGATTTATCGTTGGGAAAAAAACAACTGTGGACAACATCTTCCGTGAAGAAGGATCAAATCCTACTCACATAAATTCTTTCGCTACACTACTAACAATAGTTTAAAATAAGTAGTAGCGTTGATAATAAGAACATACTTTCATGTCTTGACAGAGAATAGACATTTGCATAAATATAGTTAAATGTAATGAATGAGCGGATAATCTTGATCGAATTATCACGAATAGATGAAGAGAGAGAGAGAGTTTCTATAATTTTAACACAGTAATTTAAGACAATGCTACAAATACTACTCATATTCGCAATTAATAGTGTTCTCTGAGTTGGTTGGTTTAGTTGCGGAGCTTTCGTCGTCCTTCTGGACAACATCCCCTTTCAGCGCAATTTTTAGCATAAAGTGAAATGATTTAAATTTTTTCATGAGTGATAGAATTGCTTCTCCCGGTAACCATCTTTACATATGTATTGATCATTTTCTATTGACTTGGATTTTAAACTTTCTGGTCACCTGATTTACTTTTTATTAGTTGGTATATTTGGTCTATATTAAAGTGTTTGTTAATTGCATATTCATTTGAGTACCAGGCTTCTAGGAATTCCCCGGCACTTTTAGTGTTCCCTCTGTCTAAAATTTCGACATTATCCCAATCAAACTGATGTCCATAATTGTCTATATGCATTGATACTAAAGAATGCATGATTTGTGTTTCTGGATTCTGATTCGAAGGGGATGCCCACTTTGGCCAATGTAATGCTTGTTGCAGTTCATACAATTTATTTTGTAAAGGGTATTAATTTTATCTCCTTTTTCTGTTGGATCTTATGGTTTGCACAATATCGAATTAAGTGATTTGACTGGCTTGTGTGCTATATCTATATCAAACGGTTTCACTATTCTAGCCGTTATTTCAGAGACACTTTTATGTATGGTAGGATGAATTTTCTTGTGTCCTTTGATGATGGTTGCTTGTTGGTGTTGTGACTCGATTTCAAACACTTTTTGATGAAATTTTGTGGATAGCCATTCTTTTTGAAGACCGTTTGTAGGTATTTTTCTTCCATTCTTTTCAACTCTGGAGTGCTACAGTGTTTTTGAATTCTTTTAAACAATGTCTGCACACAGTTTCTTTTGTGAGTAATTGGATTATTGCTAGTATAATTGAGTATTTGCTCTGTGTGTGTGCGTTGATCTTCTATATACTTGTGTTTCTAAATTTCCTGTGTTAGTTCTCCTGATTAAGACATCTAAAAGTGGGATTTTGTTGTCGTCTAATTCTTCTTCTCTCGTGGTGAATTTGATGTCTTCAAATATCTTGTTTATTAATTTATGGGTGTATTCTAAATAATCATTTCTCCTAATTATTACAAATGTATCATAAAAAACGAACACTTACTCTACACTAATAATCAATATTGAATAGAGAAATTTCTACGCGTTTCTCACAAAAGTAAAACATACTCAATGTCTGGTGTTGTCAGTTTGAAGAGTGAATATTAACACCGTGTTTAACAGTCAGTCAATCTGTTCAGCTCATTCCCAATGTACACAGTGTAGCCTGACTGGAATAGGCGTAAACATACCTCTGAGGTAAACTGGAGAAAGGTGAAAACTCTCCGTTTCCCGCTGGGAACATTTCTGTAGGGTATCATCGAATTGAACCTTAGTCTTAAATTGGATTACCAAGGCAGATTTAAAGTGACAAAAAATAATTTTTGGACACATAAGCCTTTTTATGGCCAGGGCTTCAGCAAATTTAAGTATGTGACCCAACCTTATTTTCCTGAAATCAACCGTACAACCCGTCTCTATGGTTTGCTTCGCTATAGATGATGTTGGACATCTGTTTCCGGGATCAGTTGTATCTAGTGTTGTTGCAGCCATTTTGGAATATGTTCTGTAGCCCTAACCTGCAGAGGCCAATGGGTCCTCCCTATATACGTGTGTTCACACATACATGTAAACTGTTTAACACAATGGGATGTGACACTATTGTTCGGTTTCTGTGAGGGTTTACAGGATAGCATAGGTCTCGTTTTCTGTATGAAAATAAGTTTGGTTGCATAGTGAGTTCTATTAATTTCCACCTTAAGTCTTTGTTTCATGATCAGACTTTATTGATCACTCCTAAAAGTCAAGGATGTATAGACATTATTTCTGGGAGCTGACTGGATGGGTAGAGATCTTTGTTTGACACTTCCGTAACCTTTAATGAATTTCAACGGATAGTTGTTATCTAGCAATATTTCAGTGAGGTGTTGTATTTCTTCTTCAGTGGTGTCGTCTGTACATATTTGGTGAATGAGTGTGAAAAAAAACTTAACCAACTCCTTTTTATACACGACATAGCGCGATCGCTTAGCAATGTCTTTGATGAGTATCTGTCCTCACCTTCGACCTGTTGTGCCCTACTGGTCATGGCTTCTCACCAGAACCCCAGGGAACTGCCTACCTGAATAGGGCCAGTCGCTAGTGTGCATCAGATCATTTTTCAAGTATTCGTTTGTAGGGATCTTGTTTGATTGGTTGGAGGTCGGTCGGTTTTTGACATAGAACTTTGCACCGGTCGGTCGGTCGGTCGGTTTTCGAAATAGAACTTTGCACATATGTGCGGCAGTTCAAGTCGCCACAATCTATGTAGCACACAAAGCAAGAGAAGGAAGTAGAAGAAATGCAAAATATAGACAGTAAACAGAGGTGTGAGACAAAGGAATAGTAATAACGAAGAACAAAACAGTTTCATTGGAAATCATAAGTCACAAGGAGTGGATGCATCTGCGCCAGCCGTTGAGAACGATTTTGAGCCATGTCACCAATATCTTCCAACCATTGTTTTTTAACGTCCCGAAGACCCCAACCAGGAAGTCTACATCTTCCTACGTGGCTTAGATTAACTGTTGTGGATTTCATTGATTGGTGCCATGTTTTGGTTTGACCGCCGCTAGCTCTTTTCCAGCCTGACCCTATATCAGCTAACATTGCCCATTGTCGAGGAAGGCGATGACTAGGCATACGTAGCACATGTCCTAACCATCTCAGTCAATGTAATTTCACAGTCTCGTCGATTGATTTCCCCGCCTTACCTAGCACTCGACCGAAGCCTAACTTCAATATTGCTCACCTTATTATACCCCTTCACACGGGAGATAGAACGCAGACACCTATGATCGAACACAGATAATCTTTTCATGTCTTCTGCTCTCAATGGCCATGTCTCACAGCCATAAAGGAGGACGAAGCGGACTGTTGAGCAGTACACACACCCTTTGGTCGATAGTCGGATATCACGTCTACTAAGCCAGAGACGGCGTAAACTGGCATGTGCGAAACTAGCCCTCTGTATTCGTGCTGAGATTTCGTCGGAGATCAACCCGTTGGCACTGGCTGATGGTACTTCCCAAGTTAGTGAAGCGGTCAACGTGCTCTACCACTTCACCAACCCAATCCAATGCCATGATTGGTTGGAGGGTTTCACCATGAGCCGACATCGGTTAGAGAACCATTGGAAAACCTGGGAGTACTGGACAGCTGATGCTCACTAGCTACTGACCCTATTCAGGTAGGCAGTTACCTTGGGTTCTAGTGGGAAGCCGTGGCCAGTAGGGCACAACAGGTCGAAGGTGAGGACAGATATTCATCGAAGAAGACATTGCGAAGTGGTCGCGTTATGTCGTGAATTGGCAGAAGTTAGAATTCATGAACTGACTATTGGATCGGGTCCCGGTGGCTGCTGAATGGTCTACGAGCTCGTTCGTCTTGTAACCAGGAGGTCCTGGGTTCGAACCCTGGAGCTGGGTGCATACCAATGAAGAGTCCCAAGCACTGGGACGAAGCAGCTGGCTGTCCAATACTCCGATGCTGTCTTTCCAATGGTTCTCTAACTAATGTCAGCTCATGATGAAATCCTCCAACCAATCAAACAAAATCCCTACAAAACCATTACTTCAAAAATTATTTGTTGTTACTTTGATCCTACCTTGGCAGTCGAATTTAGAACCAAGGCTTAATTCACTTAATGATATTTTCACCCTCTCCGTTCTTTGTATTTTTTCTCACCCTACACGCTTACATCAATCATCTTCCTACCCCTTATTGGTGAACTTGACCTGGACACAATGTAACCTGCATTGTAATGATTCATGCTATCTTGCCTTCTATATAAATTTGTATGACAAGTACGCGGGTGTGATCAGAAGTATGTCCGAAATGTGTCACTGCAGTATGTTACAAATTATCCTCTTCATATTTTAAATGAAAATTCTGTTTCCTTATTACGTACACATGTATTCTAGAATTAATTTGTTCAATATCCAATGTTGTTTGTGCATATGCTTATTTGTTTATCTTTACTATAAATTACTTTCTTTTTTAGGAGGATCTGTTGACTGATTTAAATGAAGCTGCTATAGCTTTAGAATCAGCCGGTCTATTTGAATGTATACGACCTGTTTATGCATTGGTTTTACCAGTCTATGAGTATAGATGTCAATACACGAATCTGGCTCAAATCTATCATCATATTGGTCGAGCTTATGAAGCAATTAGTCGTGTAGAATCTCATGGACATCGTTTATTTGCATCATATTATCGTGTGACCTTTCATGGGCAAGTAAGTGAATACTGAATCATGTATATATATATATATATACATATATATATATATATATAAATGAGAATTGTCTTTAGACTGACTGAGTTGGTCTCATGGTGTGTGTGTGTATGTGCTTGTCACTTAATTGGTAGCAGTAGGGTACTTGAAATTCCCAGCAGGAAATTAGAATGGTTAGTTAAAAGGATACTGCTGCACACTAGCGACTGGTCATATACAGGCTCTATGTGGTTAACTGGGTTCTAGTGAGAAGTTGTGATCAGCTGGGTGTAGCAGGCCGGGTGTGAAGACAAATACTCGCCACCACCGATGACACTGGCTAGTGCCAATCACTCTATAACGTGAGTTATTTGCAGAAGTTGGAATCCATGGGGTAGCCATTGGATCAGGTCCCAGTAGCTACTGAATGGTCTACGAGCTCACTGGCCTTGTAAGCAACCGAAAGATCGTGGGTTTGAACCTTGGTGGTGTGTGCATACTGCTGAGGAGTTCCGATCGCTAGGACGAAACAGCTGTCCAGTTCTCCCTGGTGGTTTTCCAATGGTTCTCCAACCGGTGTCACCTCATGATGAAATCCTGTAACCAATTAAAAGGACAAATACTTGCTGAACACAATGGAAAATTCACGAAGATTCGATGACTTTCAAGTGCGTCACTTGATATTCATGAGATTGGTCTCTTATATGATGAATTTCAAAGGAAAACGAAACAGCTTCTATTGTTTTTCAGTGATTTCATTGTCATCATACTAGAATCTTGAATATAATAAAGCTTACTAGTTGTGATTAGTGAAGGTAACATAACTGTAAGGTGGTGATTTCAGTTCTAGGTGTTCTCAGTCAATTTTCTCACTTACTTTGAGCACCCTGAACCATCAACCAAAATTACCACCAGACTTCGCTTGTTTTTCGCTTGTTTAAGGGGTGTTTGCAAAGTTGGCGAAACTTTTGTTCCATCTGAAATCAGAATTTGATGCACCACCCAGTCAGTTCTAAGTCAGCAAATTTGAAACTGTGTTCAGATCATCGCGTCTAACTCCCTGAAGAATTGAGTTGACACACACACACACACACACTAAGAGGGAAATGTATTCCAGTGTCATATCACTTAACTGACTGACTCTGCTGCCTAGTTGGTTATGTCAGTTTCGAGCTATACAATTGCTATGCGACTGTCAACTCGTGTGTGTGGTGCGTTTACTACTCGTTGCCTACTCATTTCTTCGGCGTATAAGGTCTGCTGTGGATTTCTTAACTTTATTCATAACTGCGTCTATTGGTTTATTAATTTCCTCATATGGTCCTGTTTCTATGTGAGAGTATTCACCTTGTACAAATAGTCTGATTTGTCTAATACTACTGTTGCATTTCCTTTGTCTGACCTTGTGATTACTATATCCTTGTTATTCTTAAGGTGTTTTTTGGGCTTCTATCTCTCTCTCTCCATTAAATAATACTGTTTCACTGTGTGATACATCTAATAAACAAACTAATATGGAACAATCTCTCATCATAAATCTAAATCAGATAAGTGAAATTTACAATAATTTTATGCACCACTGAACAAATATTTTTTTTAAATAAAACTCTACCCTGAATATAAAAATGACTGTTGGCTTCTAAAATGTATTTTGAGCTAGTCAGCTAGAGAGGCGTGTATGCATGTGTAACAAGGAATGAAATTATAAGGAAGCGTGTGTTTCTTTGCTTAGAAACAAATTAGCTATATCAATGATGGATGTTGTCAAATATCCAGATCACAGAGATCCTGGACCTATCACTGGTTTCAGAAGACTAAGCCTAATATACAGAATACTGTGCACTGTAACCGTCGCAGAACAACAGAAAACTGTTGGGCATCACGACTGACTGGCGTAGGCGTGACATCCGACTATCAACCAAGGGACGTGTGTTCACTCAGCTCAGCAGTTCACTCCGTCCTTCTCTATGGCTCTGAAACATGGCCAATACGAGTTGAAGACATGAAGAGGTTGACTGTTTTTGATCATAGATGTCTAAGATCTCTTTCTCACGTTAGGTGGTATAATAAGGTAAGTAATGTTGACGTTAGGCGTAGAGAGTTGGGAAAGAGGGAAAATCAATCGACGAGGCTATAAAGTGGCATAGATTGAGATGGCTGGGTCACGTGCTGCGCATGCCTAACCATCGCCTTCCCCGACGAACATTACTAGCTGATATAGGTGCAGGTTGGAAAAGAGTAAGTGGTCCCATGCCAAACAAAAACATGGCCTCATCAATCCATGAAATCCCTGACAGTTAAACTGAGTCAGGTAGGGAGATGCAGACTTCCGGGTTGGGGCCAACCCTCGGGACTCTAAGAATCAATGGCTGGAGACAATAGGTGACATGGCTCAAAATCGTTGTCAATGGCTTACGCAGATGTATTCAGTCTCTTTAACCTTCATATTCCTTTCTACCATTACTCATTCTGTTTCACTCTTATACTTATTTAAATTCTATTGATTCTCTTCACTCATTTTCTTGTCTACCTTTGTGTGCTATTTGGAACGTGGCAACTGGAACTGTTGCACTTCGGTGCCAAGTTCTATGTTGAATCCAGACAGACAGACAGACTGACTGTTTATTAATCAAGCGATAACGAAAGAGATTTTGCAATGGTGTTTATCAATGCTAAAATCTGTCAAATAAACGTTAGTATAATGTATACAATAAATACTTCTGATCGTATTTCCCGAATCTTCTGCCAACCAGTACACGATTAAGCAAATGACAGCGTTCTTATCTCCCGCCAAATGGAGACCAGTTCGATTAAACATACTATATTCAGTGTTCACTAGCATTGACAGATGTAATATCTCCAGTGTTAAATAACTATCCTATAAAATTCATTAAGAAGATCAAAAAAAGGTTAAAAGGAAAATAATAATAATAATGGTGAAAATAATAATGATAACATAAATAAGAAAGAATATAAGCCTCATACATAGTTGTACCATACCATATAAGAAGGCGATATCTGAAACCCTATGTAGGATCCTTAATAAAAAAAGGAATTAGAGTTGCATTTAACTCCACAAACTGACTGAAGTAGGACAAACTCTGTGGACAAAATAAATGTAATCTACAAAATACCTTACAATGAATGTGAGGTCAGCTACATTAGTCAGACCATATAGATTATGCCTAGTCAGATTATTGCAACAGAAGAAATTTAGTTACAGGATTTCATCATGAGCTGACATTGGTTAGAGAACCATTGGAAAACCGAAGTACTGAACAACCTGCAGTTTCGTCCTAGTCTGGGACTCTTCATCAGTACGCACCCCGGGGGTTGAAACCAGGACCCTCTGGTTACAAGGCGAGCTCGTATACCATTAAGCCACTGAGACCCGATTCAGTGACCAGCCCATGAATTCTAACTTCTGCCAATTCACCATATAGCGCAACCGCTAGCCAATGTCTTCAGCGAGTATTTGTCCTCACACGCAACCTGCTGCACCCTACTGGTCACGACTTCCCACTGAAACCCCAGGTAACTACCTACCTGAATAGGGCCAGTGGCCAGTGAGCATCTCATTGATATTCAAGTATTGGTTTGTAGGGATTTGGTTGATTGGTTACAGGATTTCATCATGAGCTGACATTGGTTAGAGAACCATTGGAAAACCAGTGCTGGAGTACTGGATAGCTGTTTCGTCCTAGTTTGGGACTCTTCAGAAGTACGCACCCACCGAGTGTGGAACTAACTGATGTCAGCTGGCGTGATCACACATGAAACAAAAAATCAAATCTCTACAAATTAACTCTTGAAAATGAATCTGATACTCGCTAGTGACTGACTGGGTTACACGGCAAAGATGTCTGGAGTTCTAGTGAGAAGTCGTGATCAATGGGTTCCATGCCGAACAGATCGGAGGTAAGGACAACTACTCGCTGCCAATGAGACTGACTGATGCCAGTCGCGCTAAAATCAAGAGTTAGTAGGTAGAAGTGTCGAATTCATGGATCATCATTTGGTTCCGGTCACAGTGGCTGCTGAAGAGTCCCAAACCAGGACGGTAGAATTGCCCAGAATTGTCCCTGATGGTTTCCAATGGTTCTCTAACCGATGTTGGCTCGTCATCATACCTGAATCCTTACAAAATAAACTCTTGAAAATGAGTATAGAATGATCAATCGCATGAATGTGAGTAGTTCGGAGGAAAACTCAGTAATTGCAATGCATGCATGTAACATACTGTAACAGCAGAAGACAAGGGCCAGGCAACAGATCGTTTATTAAGGAAAATCAACACATATTTATAGATTTTAATGAACATTATTGTAGATTATTGTTAGTAGAAAATACAGTCTTTTGATTGGTTGTTTCTCACAGAAAGTTAACCTTGCATCTCTTTGTGGCTGTGTTAGATCATCCATATGCTAACTGTATCCGCCTGCCTACGCAAAGCCTTTGTTCTCATTTTCTCACCACCAATAATGGGGACATAAACATTGACGTCGATTACTGTCTACGAACTTTGGCTAGCAGCCAGCTCTCACCACACTCGTCCACCTGTCAAAGACTTGCGACTGAAGTTGGCTCGGTCTTCTTGGTTCTTGGGGCTTTGCTCTTTTGTCTTGCTTTCTGGAATCTTGGCGCTTGCGGATGTTCACCTGTTTCTCTGTGTTTACCATTGCGATTGTGTCTGCGTAACCCAATCTCAACGTGACCACATGTGGTCCTTCTCACTTTGGAAACTGATTGCCTGACCCTGTCGGACATTCATAGGTATTTCACTTCACACTTTCATATGCTGCTTTCTCCCTACCTCCCAGCAGCGTCCCAAGTAGCAGCCTCATCGCTGACAGATCTTGAACGCCACTCAACTGCGAAGAAGCCTCGAAGTCCTGCCCGAAGATCCATATGTCTCCATCAAAAACTGCAGGGCATAGGCTTTCCATTTTTCGGTAGTCAGCGACACCAAATGTAACAACAGAAGACGAGGGCCAGGCAACAGACCCTTTATTAAGGAAAATCAACACATATTTATAGATTTCAATGAACATTATTGTAGATTATTGTTAGTAGAAAATACAGTCTTTTGATTGGTCGTTTCTCACAGAAAGTTAACCTTGCATCTCTTTGTGGCTGTGTCAGATCATCCATATGCTAACTGTATCCGCCTGCCTACGCAAAGCCTTTGTTCTCATTTTCTCACCACCAATAATGGGGACATAAACATTGACGTCAATTACTGTCTACGAACTTTGGCTAGCAGCCAGCTCTCACCACAACACAATCATACGATAGAGTAGGATAGAGCAATAGTTCTAAAAAGTAATATACATAGGTGGAAAGAGAGGGGTTGATCACGGAATCTCTCTATTCATCGAATTTTACACCGAACACACGTACAACAGGAGTGATTCAATACCAATACGATTGAGATATAGAAAATATTACTACCAATAAAATTAAAGGATGTGAAATAATGGAATTATTATTATATAAACGAAGTCGACAAGTTGTGTGAGTAATGCCTTGATGTGATTAATATGATGATTGTGAACAGTAGAAATAAACTGTGCTCGAAACATTGTCATCAGTCAACAAAATAGTACTGTATCAGTGTGTAGTTTTTACTAATAAAAATAAATTTTTCTCCATTATGGAATTATACTCTACACCTACCACAGTGGCCAAGTTCTATTCTTATAATTAATAATTACCATAGTTACAACTGCTTTCCTTTTTTGTATAAATCTGTCTTCTTTGTTTTTTTACCCTATTAGTTATTTGAATCAATGGCTGGGAAATCATTCATATATCGTTCAAATCCATGTCAAAAATTAAATGAAAAATGCAATGAATTATTACAGTTGTATCGTAGAAAGTATGGAGAGAATGTAGTGGAATTGTTATCGGATAATTTTATCAATCGATCTAGTTTAGATTCGAATAAAGCTTATGTACAGGTAGGTAAGAGGAGGAGGTGGAGGCTATACTCGACTCGTTTGCGTGTTACTTTTATTTTGTTTTGTGTAAAAATCAGAAAAAAAATAACTTGTTTTATTTTAATTTAGTGTTTGAACTTTGCCTTTGATACTGATTTGACCCGAGTGCTCGGCCTCTGTGTTGATATTTCGGCTTCTTGTGCTGGTGTGTAGCAGTTGGATTCAGCATGTGTATTTCATCCCATTTGGGACTCGTCATCTGGAGGTACCTAGATTTTCCAGTGTGAGTGAGTAGTCAGTGGATGGTGTTCCCAATAGCCATAATTTCAAACGCCAAAGCCTTATCCACTAGACCGCTTGGGCCACGAGAGCTATCCACCTGTTGTGCAACGGGTATTAGTAATTGTTTAATTCAATCTGGCTTTCCTGTTGATTGATTGGATTGAAGGGATCTGCGTCTGTTGACATGTTGGCTCCTTTTACGATTGGTCCAATGATGTTTTTTTATTTGGTGGTGGATAACTCTTTCAAGTTTGAAACACTGGGTACTGGGTTCGAGCCTCAGTGGGAATATCATCACTTGCTGACTAAGGAATGCAGGCACGTTCAGATGACGAGTCCCAAATAGGACGAAATAGGGATCCTGGTGGATTCTACTGATAGTTACCATCCACCAAATTAACTTGTTTTTATGTTTAAAATATTGATAAAGAAGTATTGTCACTGATTGTTCACTAGATTACAGATAAAACAGTACACGGTTGAGTTGAGATTGCTAGGACACTTGCTATGTATGCCAAGCCACCACCTTCCTGATCGAATGATGTTAGCTGATATAGAATTAGGATGGAAGAGCGATAGAAGTGATCAAATCAAAACCTGGTATCAATGCATTCATGGTGCTTTTGACTGTTGGTTTGATGAACCGCATAGGATGGTGTGGACTGTCTGACAGGGTTCCCTTGAGACGCTAAGGACCAACGGCTTGAGACTGTTGGTGACATCGCTGAAAAGCGTTGTATCCATACCTTGTAATTTTCCATAGGCATTAAATTCTCATTATTCTCCATGTATTTATTATTTCTGCTGCACATTTGCGTTCATTGTAGTTCATTTGTGCTTTCTCGTCTAAATCTGTGGGCTGTATAGAGTATGACAACTTGAACTGTCGCACATTTGTTCTGTGGCGATGGTTAGGCATGCGTAACACATGTCGTAACCATCTCAATCGCTGTAACTACTTCACAATCTCCTCGATTGATTTTCCCTCCTTACCTAGAATTCGACCGAAGCCTAACCTCAATATTACTTACCCTATTATGTCACCCAACACGGGATATAGGACGCAGACAGCTATGATCAAAGACAGCTAGCCAGCCCCAGCCTTTCCATGTCTTCCATATTCAATGGCCATGTCTCACTGACTGCCATAAAGGAGGACTAAGGGAACTTCTAAGCAATACACACATCCTTTGATTGACAGCCAGCCAGATATCACGTTCATACGAGAGATGGCGTATGTTGGCAAATGCCAAACGGGCCTTCTGTATCCGTGCTGAGATTCCATCAGCGATCAACCCACTGGGATTGGCTGATGCAAATTTCCACAAAATAAGTGAAGTGATCAACACACGTGGTCACCACTTCACTGCCTATCTTTAGGCTAGGAGGGAAACGATGTAGTCCCGTCCTGTAGGATCATCTTACATTTCACAGCAGGAGTGAATCGCATGCGAAAAATTCAAAGATGATATGCATGAACATCTTAATTTTTCGAGTCCAACTATCGTTGTCTTCTAAAGATTCATAAAAATGATATTCCTTGTTTTTTGATGTAGTTGTGATCTCTGAGGTGGATGGTTTATTTGCGAAGCTTTCATTGCCTCACCACTAGGCAACATCTTCAGCGCACACTTCAATTTGAAATGAGCTTTCAGATGTAGACAAAATTTACTAATCGATAGGAGGGAGGTCTTATACACAAAGGGTCAAACTTCAGGTCAGGGAAACAATCAATACCTATCAATGCGTAGCCTAGAGGGTGTGAAAACACACAAAGATAAACAATCACGTTCTAGGTCACCAGGGGAGATGACTAATAAACTTGTAGAGAAATCTGAAAGCTCTCACTTCAACAAACTTAAGTATGCGCTGAAGATGTTGCCTAGTAGTAGGGGCAATAAAAGCTTTGCAAATAAACCATCCAACTGAGAGATCATGACTACGTCAAAATCGTCGCACCTGAGCTACAAATCTTCGCCATTATATCTAAATAGTATTCCTCTCTTTCCCAGTACTAGATATGTGCTGACTTTGCTTTATCACTCTATAGTGCAACGGTTTACCGAATTCATTTCACTTGTACCATACATATTCAGTTTAAATAGACTGCCTAGTTAAGCTGTTTTGCTTCTTACCTAATGACGCATAACAACTTATCTTCTCTATATCAGTGTGAATCATCCTTCTGTTTTCTTATTCCTTTGTTGTTGTTTCTTTTGTCAAAAAAATATGTACTTTATAGGTCACTTATGTGGAACCGTATAAAGAAAGAAAAGATTCTGAGAAGAAACCTTTAACTTCGTATGAAAAACATCATGATGTACAACAGTTTATGTTTGAAACACCCTTCTTAAGACAACCAGGTAAGTATTTAGTATATACACATATATATATACTACTGATAGAAATAAGTAATGCCTATCGACAGAGATCAAAGTTATCTAAATACCAGATGTCCGTGTTTCACTTGTTTACCTACCTCTGAACTTATCAGCTTTGTATGATTCGTTCAGACTTGAACTCTGACTCTCTGGTCACTTGAGTGGACGGACTGGTAATTAACTTAAAATTAAATTCATCTTTTGTAAATAACCGTTTCTGCTGTCAAGCTGTGGTGAGAGCTGGCGGCTGCTAGCCAAATTGGTAGATGGTAATTTACGTCAATGTTTACGTCCTCAATATATTGGTCGTGAGAAAATATGAACAAGACTGATTCAAAAACCGACCACAGCTGACTTTGCGTAGGCGGATACAGTTAGCGTATAGATGATCTGACATTCAAGAAACAGCCACACAAAGAGATGAAAGATTAACTTTCAGTGAGAAACAACCAATCAGTAGAAGACTGTGTTTTTCTGCTAACAATAATCTATAACAATGTACATGAAAAGCTATAAATATGTGTGTTGATTTCCTTAATAAACGATCTATTGCCTGGCCCTTGTCATCTGTTGTTACAAGGCCGACTGTAGTGAATTCTCGCCTCCAGTCGTGAAAACTTGTAGGCATTGCATTTGAATTCTAAGCCAGAGAATTAAGTTTTCTTTTTATTTATTTATTCGTCTAGTTCTTAGATCTGAGTGATACAGACTTCAGTATTTGTGAAGAGGTTGTAAATATTTTCTCAATCTTGTAGGAAAATCACTTTGTTATTGATAAAATCAGCAGGCAGCAGGAAAGCACCAAACTTAGATAATAGTAGTAGTAGAAGTGAGCTTCCTGCTAGAGTTGACTTGTAACACTTAACAAGTGAAACATTGTAATTAAATTCGTCTTTGCGTTTGTGTGTGCGTGTGTGTGTCTATGTGATAGTTGCGGGGATAATGGTGCACTCGATGTGATGATTATGCATCACCGGTAACCAAACGGATTGGGGGGGGGGGGCAGAGAAATTCTTAAGGAGTCATAAACAGACTGACTACTTTACAATAAGGTGATTTGATATACATATATACCTGTATATTTTCCAGCATTTGATTGTGAACAAGCATGTTCGGCTTATCTGTTTTGATATGTTGAAGTGTTTTTTTAACATATATGGACAATTTTAACGGTGCATTAGAAAAAGACGTAAACACAGTGAAGCGAATTTTCTTGTAGACGATTCATTTTCATAAGCTGGACAATCGTAATTATTATATTTAACGCAAAATTCATATGATCAATCAGATACTGGTAAAATTTGTCCCCGAAAATGTATTACGTAACGTTAGGTGTAATCTACAGGGGGAAGGGTGACTAATTGGAAATTAGAAAAAAGGGGCAGAACTCCATTATGGATAAGAATTAATTTTGATAAATCACATTGTTGTACAGTTATATTAACTGATGACGTTTCGAACACAAACTATTGCTCATAATCATAACAAAAACGTCATAATCATATCAAAACGTCGAAACGTCATCAATTAATATAACTACTGTACAACACTGTGTGATTTATCAAAATAAATTCTTATCCATAATGGAGTTATGCTTTACCACAGTGCCCAAGTTTTATACTTATATGAAAAGGGGCAGAAGTTGGGATGACGTATTGAGTGTGAAAAAAACGACTGATCAACATAATTGTGTAGTCTTGTAACAACAGAAGACAAGGGTCAGGCAACAGATCGTTTATTAAGGAAAATCAACACATATTTATAGATTTTAATGTACATTATTGTAGATTCTTGTTAGTAGAAAATACAGTCTTTTGATTGGTTGTTTCTCACAGAAAGTTAACCTTGCATCTCTTTGTGGCTGTGTTAGATCATCCATATGCTAACTGTATCCGCCTGCCTACGCAAAGCCTTTGTTCTCATTTTCTCACCACCAATAATGGGGACATAAACATTGACGTCAATTACTATCTACGAACTTTGGCTAGCAGCCAGCTCTCACCACAGTAGAAGTTATAATTCATGATCAGGCCATTGAATTGGGTCCCTCCTAGTGGCTGATGAATGGTATTCGAGCTTGTCTTATAACTGGAAGGTCCTGGGTTTGACCCCTGGTGGTTGGTACGTACTGCTGTGGAAGAGTCCCAAGCACTATGATAAAACAGCTGGCTAGCTGTTCAGTACTCCCTGTTGGTTTTCCAATGGTTCTCCAACTGACAGCAATCCGTGGTCAAACTCGAGAAAACAAACCAAATGCTTACAAACCAACTGTTGAAAATAATTGTGTGGAGTGGACAAGAACTAATAATGGAAAGACGACAAAGTGTTTTTATATAAAATCTGTATGGAAATGCAATGTTTTATTAATAAACAGTTATAGAGTGATAATGAAATAAGGATGATGAGAATAATAGTGGCAGTAAAATAATAGTAATAATAATAATAATAAAAACCTACATAATAAAGTGAAATAAAATTATAGTAAGAACTTTACTCTGACCACGGTAAGGCGAGTGAATGCATGTGGTACTTTTGAATGCAGAGGTCCAGTTTCAGGTTCTGAATAATCAATGATTCAGCTATGCACAGATGGCGTATACGAATTTCCTTTCGTATGATATTGAGGGACTCTGCGTAATACTGTGAAGCATATTCATGCCTGGGTGCTCGATGTCCAGAGTTGACAAGGTGTTCTAGGATGAAGCTGCTAGTGTTCTTCTGTTTTCCTCTGACTGGCTAGACAAACTGAACAGTGTTCCAGAATACATTTGAGGGTTTGACGTTGAGTACGGCCGATAAACTTTGCTCCACACGAACAAGTAAACAGAATTCAGTCTGCACGAAAGATAGGACTAGAGATACACACACACACACACATACATTACACTAGTCACTGACTAGCGTCCAGTCAGAAAATCGCTTCTACAGTTTCCTGACTTTTAAAAAAGAAATCTTTAATTTCTTTTCATACAGGTTTATCTACTGAGGCTTGCCTATTGGCTCCTGGTCCAAAACGTAGTGATGATTTAACTATCCAATGGAAACGTCGTACAATATTAACTACAGAAGCAACTTTTCCACATTTACGTCGACGACTTGAAATAGTTCAAGTGACAGAAACTGATTTCACTCCAATCGACTCAGCAATAGATGCTATTCATGTAAGAATTAGCATTATTTCGATACTACTCTTAATTATTTTATTTGTATTTTATTCCCTTTATGTTCCGAGTAGAACATAGGGCTTCAAGCTAGAGAGCTTTGAAGTTCTGGTAGCAGTGGTAATTATTTTTACGGAGTCGAGTTGCTAGTTTCACAACCAACTTTCTCTCTTTACCGGCCTTACTACCACCGGCTTACGGAGGTTTAGGAGTGCGTCTGTAGCCGAGATTCGAAGCCCGGACCACATGGGTAGTGGTCGTCAAGCATTCTACCGTTAAGCTACCGTGCGTCGGTGGCACAATGGTTAAACTCTCCCGACCATGAAGATGGTCTGGGGTTCGATCCCCTGCCGACGCACACCCGATATCTATGGTCGGCCTGTAAATTTGGGCTACCAATATCCTTGCTGAAAATTCCATACTTGTACTGAAAATACGGTGTGGCATCAAGCTGTAATCAAAATAAAAAAATAAAAAAAGAAGCTACCGATGCCATTTTCTAATTTCTTCCATTTTTATTCCTGGTTGGGTAGAACTTTCAAGTTATATATTCTCCTAGAGAGGTGGTAGCCAGTCTGAAATGGTCATATTGTATACTAACTTTTTAAAGAGAGAAATGGTCATATACACAGTTAACCGTGTGCCGTATGTGTTTGATATCCACAGCAATGCAAAATGCGTAGATATGAACTGTTCGCTTAAGGTATTGGAGTAATTATGACTCTCTTAAGGTAGAGTCGAATGCTTCATCATCTAATGACGCATCATCTGTTTCATTCGTTGTCCAAACCAAGGATGCCCTGTAAGTGGTGGTAGATTTGACACTGTGTGACCATCGTATACTTTTCTAATATTGGCGTACCTATATGCACAAGCCAATTGCCTCGGTTTGGCTACCTTGTCATTTCAGTGGAGTGATAACATTCCGTCCGGTGCTCTGAGTATCAGTGTGAAGAAACTTACCTCTGCATGAGTAATGGTGGAAACCAAGAGATGAGTTACGCGCGGCAGACGCCTCCACGGGGAAGCTGGGCCAGAGCTAAGATCTGTTGCAAGCATGAACAACGTTTGTGTCTAGCTAGCTCCGCAGCTCAAACGAATAGGCCGAAAAGTCCTATTGAGCCTTATGTGAGGTGCGGGGCTTCGGAGGACCGAGATCACTTGAACTTTGGGCGAGAAGGCTAGGATCGGTTAACTTGTGACTCACAGTTGGCGGATGGCCTTGGATAGCTTGGTTACTCTATCATGGATTGCTGGAAGGGCATTCGGTACGATGGCCAGTCAGAAGCAGTGTTTCCTGCAGTGGGAAATGGATTGGCGGTCGGGATCTTGTTTCCATGAGGCAGGATAGGCTGTCCCTGGTTTGGTGTTCTCGATTTGGATTTGCTATTTGGGATGCTCATAGATTGTTCTGGGACGTGAGAAGCAACATCTCAGTGAGTTGTTCTGGGACTGCATCAGTCGCTGGAGAAGCTTTCATAACAGCACACGCTAAACATAAATAGAATATAAGTAGATACACAATCTACCCTGCGTATCTGATGTTGTTGGGGTCAGCAGTGAAGTTTCAGGCGCCGTAGGTCAGCCAACAAATCCCCATTTGAGGAAGGAGATGGCTTGGCATGCGTAACACGTGTCCTAGCCACCTCAATTGATGCACGTTTAACAACCTCATCGATCGACTTCCTTTCTTACCAGGCACTCTACGCCTAACCTCAATATTACTCACCATGTTATACCATTTAACGCACTTGTGGTCAAAGACAACTAGACTGTTCACATTCTTCACTTTCAATGGCCGTGTCTTACAGACGTAAAGGAGGATGAAGCCAACTGCTGCACAGTACACATGTCTTTTGATCGATAGCCAGATATCACGTCTACACCCCAGGTATAGCGAATGTCACATGGGCTTTTCGTACGCGTGATGAGATTTTGTCAACCATCAGCCCTAACCGGTTGATACAACTCCCCAAATAAGTGAAGTGGTTAACATACACATTACTCCCTAGAAATGATATGCGGTTCCATGTAGTTGGTAATGAGCCACACCAATTGTAATGGGGGTTGGTGGTAATATTACCTGACCGCCCAAACCTCGGTAGGTGGAGCGAAATTCAGACCCATGACCCACTACTGGTTTGAAGTCAAGTGTCTAGATGGATGAGCTACAGCCCTACCCCCTCCGCTCCGTCGTGGATATCAACCACAGTCACAAAGTATACACGCCTGAGTAATCGAAATTATGCTAAATAATACTATTAGATGTTTTAAGATCCCGCTGAAGATGAAACTAACTAACTAACAAGTTCAAATATATATACAGTTGTATGATATAACTTGAAGCAGTTCATTGGGGATCATTTTCATCCAACTTTTTTTATTGTCATTCTTCTCGGTTAGAGAATAACAGGAAAGTAAACACTTTCGACTTCAATTTGTGTTCAATTAGATCGAGAGCGATAAAACGGACTTATACTGCCGCCACCCTTTGTTTGTCATTTTCCAGCCGACCAATTTTGATTGCTCAAGTGAAAGTTAAGCTACCTAGCTGTGCCACTTCGATGTGGATCTATAAATTTAGTTGCTCCTGTGGAGAAAGCTACATAGGGCGAACAACTAGACAGCTGAACAAACGCATTAATGAGCATCTTCCTTCATGGTTCGGAAAAGGTTAAATAAAATCCATACGAAGTTCTATTTTGGCTCATTTGATTGATAGCGGTCATCAAGTGGACAAAAATAGTGCTTTCAAAGTTATCTATCGTATTCCATCGAGTCTTTCGAATGGAATCAGAAACCGTCTTTTACACTTAGCCGAAGCTATGGGAATTCGAGAGAACAATCCTAGTCTTTGCATACAAAGGAAGTTTGTTCTACCTTTGTCTCTCCCTTGGCCTAAGTGAACTGTATTCAAAAACCCTCCCACCCTTTCTTATTTTCCATCTCCTTCGTACTTTTATAATATTTATTTAAACTCTGATTATCGTTCCACTTCACCTTTTAAGATATGACCCAATTTATTTATACACTTATATACATATACTATCTTTGTTATTCTTATCACCTGCATAAACCTTATTATCAATATTTTGTTATCATTATAATCATCGTTACTAATATCGTTCAAAACATTTACCACATTATTTATTATTATTATTTGATTCCCAAAATAACCGTCATTGGTTAAAAAATTTTATATATAAATCTATGTAAATTAGAGTAAAGCCTGAAGAAGATCTAATTGAAAACAATATTGTTCGCTTATATGTCTTGTTCTAATATTATAAATGGAAATATTTAAAGATTCAATTTGTGTACCTTTCGCTTTTATACAGCGGTCACAAATTAGAACTCTTCTTCACCCTACTAAAGTTTGAACAGTAAGCTCTGTGGCTTATTGTCTGATACTCGGGTATCTGAGATCTGAGATCCTAAAGAACATCACAGAGAATACTTCACATCCAACAGATTTTGATAACTACAGTGTTTGTTTGTTTGTGTGTTTTTCCTTTTCTGTGACTATTATTACTATTATTTTTCTTTTGTTGGTTATTTTGCAGTGTAAAAATCAAGAATTGATGAGTCATGTTATAGCATTACGTAATAATTCAGCAGGTTTCAATAATTCAGGTAAGTCATGCATGATTGAACAGTATTCTGCTCACCTTACTAAATAACTAACTGATCAGTTGTCGAGTTGTCTGTAGAAATCTGATTTCTGTGATCACAGTCAATCAGAATATACACAGTATACTAAAATCTGCGCGCTGAAATGATGTTGTCTACATGGGGGACGACGAAAGCTCTTCAGAGAACACAACTAATTCAATACACAGTAATTTCACTGACTAAATTTGCAGCTTCAATTCAATAAAAATGATTAGTTACAGGACTTCATCATGAGCTGACATTGGTTAGAGAACCATTGGAAAGCCAGCACCGGAGTAATGGACAGCCAGCTGTTTCGTCCATCCAGTTCGGGACTCCTCATCACCATTTAGCCACTAGGACCCAACCCAATCCAATGGCCAGCCAGTCCATGAATTCTACGAATTCTGCCAATTTACGACATAGTGCGACCGCTAACCAATGTCGCCTGTAGCGAGTATTTGTCCTCACACCCGACCTGCTGTACCCTACACATTGGCTAACGGTCGCGCTATGTAGTGAATTAGCAGAAGTTAGAATTCATTGGCTGGTCATTGGATTGGATCCCAGTGGCTGAATAGTCCATGAGCTCACCTTGTAACCAAAAGGTCCTGGTTTCAAACCCCGGGGGTGCGTACTAATGAAGAGTCCCAAACTAGGACGAAACAGCTGACTGTCCAGTACTCCAGTGCTGGTTTTCCAATGGTTCTCTAACCAATGTCAGCTCATGATGCAATCCTGTAACTAATCAATCAAATCCCTACAAACCAACACTTGAATATCAATAAAAATGACTTCATCACAGTGTTATTTAAGTCAACGTGTATATATGGGTTAATATGATTCGTTCTTCTTATAGAAAGTGAAATAATTAAAGTAAGAGTGGTGAAAAATTTCAAAGCCTTAAGAATACTTCACATTTCTTTGGCTGGCTATCTGGGCAGCCTTCACAGCCAGCTTTTTACATTGTATGTGCATTCCATATCCCTATTCTTATTCTTACTTTCATCGAGAGAAAACACATTGGCTGGCTGACTGACTTCCCGAAGGTTGACTTTCACACCAGCCCGCTGTGTCATTTCGCCTCTCCGATTCCAGCGAAGAATAAGTTTATTTTAAAAAAATATAATTTGTATTTTTAATAATTTTTTAAAATTGTGCATTGAAGTTTCTGTAGCAGTTTTAATTAATTTTGTGGGTTAGGGTGGTTACTAGCCCCATACACTCAACCCTCTCTCTTTACCTGGGGCTGGGACCGACTAAAAAATTAGCAAGCTAGTAAACTAGGCAAGGTTATTTAGGGATACATCTGTACCATATCATCAAAACTCGCCAACTATTCATTCTTATCATATTTGCGGAGACCCTGGACAGATAATCTAGGCTTATCTGTCTGTCTGTCTGTTTTCGACATAGAACTTTGTACATATGTGCGGAAGTTCAAGTCGCCACACTCCCTCCTTGTAGCACACAAAGCAAGAGAAGAAAGTAGGAGAAATGCATATTAGAGACAGTAAACAGAGGTGTGAGACAAAGGAATAGTAATAACGAAGAACAAAACAGTTTCATTAGAAATCATAAGTCACAAGGAGTGGATGCATCTGCGACAGCCACTGAGAACGATTTTGAGCCATGTCACCAATTGTTTCCAACCATTGGATTTTACCGTCCCGAGGACCCAAACCAGTCAGGAAGTCTACACCTTCCTACCTTGTAGACTTCATTGACTGGAGCCATGTTTTCGTTTCACCACCGCTAGCTCTTTTCCAGCCTGACCCTATATCAACTAACATTGCTTGTCGAGGAAGCGATGACTAGACATGCATACGTAACACATGTCCTAACCATCTCAGTCGATGTAATTTCACAGTTTCGTCGACTGATTTCCCCTCTCTCCTTACCTAGCACTCGACGCCTAACCTCAATATTGCTCACCTTATTATACCACTTCACACGGGAGATAGAACGCAGACACCTATGATCAAAGACAGCTAGCTGGTCTTTTCATGTCCTCCACTCTCAATGGCCAGGTCTCACAGCCATAAAGGAGGACGGTGATTGAGAACAATAGTCAGTCGTTTTCAACCTAATCTTACTTCTTGAGAGAAACATGTATTTGTATGTGTGTGTGTTTCTATTCCAACATGTGTTGAATATGCACGTAATAAACCTCAATTCAGTGAATAATATCACTTTGGTTACTGAATTATCAACACACACACACGCATACACACATACCTATAGATGCAGTATCAGGTATAAACGACAAATCCCTCTCTCTATTGTTTCCCGTTTAGCCGGATTTCTACTTGGAAACTTTTTAAACAACTGTAGTGTTTGCTTATTTCTGAGTTTTAGTAGTAGTAATAGTATATATATATATATATATATATATATATATATATATATATATATATATATATATATGGGTAACTAATTAACTTATCCATAGTTCAAATACATTACATTAGCATGCTGGCAAACTTCCGTTTTTTCTCTCACAATTCTTATTGTATACAAGATGTTTATGGAATTGATAAAACGCAAGATATAGTACCACACCCATATCCCTTGCCATGTATCTTCTTTTCGTGCTCCGTTACTCATATAACTAAGAGATTTGTATCTTAATCTGGTTTCTATTTAGACAAAGAGGCTAAATTTGTTCACTGGTGGCCCCCTCCTAGATTATACATCTGCTTTTGACTCGATACCTAGGGTTATTTTGTTATAAATAAGCTTTCTGTAACTGAAACTGAGTGTTGGATGATTGTTAACTGACTGTATTCTTATTACTTAGGAAGAAAGCAGTACACACAGTATGTCAGGGGAAGTCGTCCACTTCATGGCTTACTGTAGCTGGCGTCCCTCAGGGCGCTGTTCTTTCTGTGTTTCTTTCTTCCTGCATGATTTACCTCTGAACTTTGTTAAGTATGCCGATGATCTAACTATTTCAATGTCTGTTAACTCCCAGTTAGATTGTACTATGATGAACAGCTTTCTATCAGAAGTCAGCAAATCTTCTTTGTCTAATGGTATTAAATTAAATCCTTTCAAATGTCAGACTGTTAATTTCACTTTCCGATGTAGAAGAAAGTTAAATGAAGCTGTTAATTCCTATGACCGTTGTTAAATTGATGATAGTGATACAGAAATCAAGTCTAACGTTGAGTATCTTGAACTAATTCTTTCTTCAGATCTATCCTGGTCTTCCCATGTCTTAGTGATTTCTAAAAGAATATTTCGTCTGACATTTTACATTAAGAAGTTAAGGCACTTAGGCATAACTCAGCCAACCCCTCCTCTTAAAGTTTGTCAACTCTTTCACCTTACCTGTTCTTCTTTATTGTTCACTCTTATTCCTTCCTGGATTGCTTAAAAAGGACTATGTCATACTTCGTAGAACTATGAAGACTGTCAGTAGGGCGTTGACATCATCATTGATGGACACTTGATTTCATTCAATAAATTTGCTAAAGGGATTTTGTCAGATTGTGAGCATCCTTTGTTGACCTGCAGCTTCCACCTTGCATTTCCTCATGTGGGACAAGAAGTCATTTTCAAAAACTTTATGCGCGAACGTCTAAGTATAAAAATTTCCCGATACCACATTATGTGATGAAAATAGTGTCAGGCACAGGGTAACTAACCTTCTTTCCACTAGTAAATAAACAATTTTCTCCACTCTTACACCATCAAGTTTTACCGTTTAATATTCCTCTTATATTTATAGTCCTCTCTTTTTTTGTTTATTTTCCCGTGAGCGTAAACACCGTCTAAGCGCTGTAATAATTATTTATTTTTTTGTTTTTCCCCTCATCATACTATGTCAAGACAACATTAGATTCAATACTCTATAGCATGCTAAAATTCCCATAATCTATTGAAAATAATGTTGTAATCAAACCTACCGTTATTATTATTATTACTATTATTATTATAGTTGTTGTTCTCATTTCCAACATTACTCCTACTGTAAATGAATATGAGGAGTAATAAATTGTACTCGAAACGTTGTCATCAGTCAACAAAATAGTACTGTATCAGTGTGTAGTTTTACCAAAATAAATTTTTCTCCATAACGGAATTATACTCTACCGACCACAGTGGCCAAATTCTATACTTATATCATACATCAACGTTACTTCATAGTTAATTGAATAACTTTTGAAAACCAGAAATCATGATCGAATTAAGCACATACAATTTTAAGTAGAGTGTTGTGCCATTAGGTTGAATAGCGGTTGTTCATACATTTATATGTATATATATATATATATACATTATAAATTATTTAAATTAATCCCAGCGTGTTAAGAAAATCAAAACAAGATTTTTCTGAACGTTTCTTTGTGTAAGCCACAGCTTATTCAGCAGATTTATTCGGATTTTTATTTATACATATATATATTTTGATGATTAATAAAAATCCGAATAAATCTGCTGAAGAAGCTGTGGCTTACACAGCGAAACGTTCAGAAAAATCTTGTTTTGATTTTCTTAACACGCTGGGATTAATTTAAATAATTTATAATGAACCAATCTGACTCGGCGCTCAAATTATTCCAGGAAGTTCGTAACACCTACGGCCTGGAAACCTATAATCGTATATATATATATATATATATATATAATTTTATTCCTTTACGTTCCAAGTAGAACATAGAGCTTCAAGTTAGAGCTTTGAAGTTTCAGTAACAGTGGTGTTATTCTTTTTTACGGAATGCGGTTGTTAACCTCACACTAAACCTCCCCTCTTTGTCAGGCTTACAACCGATTGGATTGGATCCCAGTGATCTACGAGCCTCTCCTTGTAACTGGAAGGTCCTGAGCCCTAGCCCTGGTGGTGGGTACGTACTGCTGTGGGAGAGTCCCAAACACTAGGACAAAACGACTGGCTATCCAGTACTCCGGTTCTGTTTTCCAGTGGTTCTCTAACTGATGTCAGCTCATCATGAAATCCTGTAACTGATCAATAAGTGTTCATATAATCTTGCGCTCCTTCGTTAACGGTTCAGTTTTATTCTTTGTAGCTGTGCACTTAACTGCTGACACTGTAGTTTGCTGAATTTTGTTTACTGTGCACCTTCACCCACTGAGCGTTCAATAATCAGATAGTATCCAAAGTCTTTTTCAGACTATCCATGTTGTACCGTATGTAATAAGTGTGGATAGCGCCATGTGTAGTTATTGAATTACTTCCACACAAAAAAATCTGTCTGCATCATTTTATCTGCATTAGAAAGTAACAGTTATACATCAGGATTTATTTGCGAAAGTTGCCATTCCCACTGGGTCAGATTGACATGGGATATTAGACTTGTTATCTGAGTGATACATATTCACACACACACACACATATATGTATAAAATACATATCAGGAGTGGTGAAATGTTTAGACAACAAAACAAGCATTGAACTAGTCATCAAATGAGCTGCTTAGTTTGTGTGTGTGTGTGTGCGTGTGTGTCAGATAGATGTATGACTAACACTATTGAATTCTCAGTTGTATATTATGATTTTTTTTAAAACACAACACCCATATACACTTGAATGGAATTATCTTACAAGTGAATAACAACTGTTCATTCATTAGAAGAATATATTTGTTAAATTGATATCATAGACAGACGTACGGCAGTTGTGTGTTGAGTGGGGCGGGGATTAAGTAAAGATGTTCACCGGTTGGCAATCGAACCCTGGATGGCATCCTACGACTGAGCCACCGACGCACTACAATATATATATATATATATATATATATATATATATATATACTGTTTATCATCCAACATCATCAGTGAATCAGCATTTTGTTTTTTTATTTATTTGTCATTTGTCAGCATGCATTGTGTTGAATAGTTCCAAACTTTGAGTTTAAGGACCCTCCTGTTTGATATACCCAGTCAGAGAATGCACCTGGGCAATATGGCCAAAACATGGGCCAAATGGGTAATTTTGATCAACAAATAGATGGGCAAAAGATGGTGTAAATGCTACATAATTTACCCACATTTTCACCGTTTGCCCATGTCCCGAATAATTTTATTGTCCCGCTTTTTCCCAGTTTACCCATGTTACAACCGAAAACAGCCCACCTTTTCCCACTTTGCTCAAATTTGAACGGAAAACTGCCCACGTTTTTACCCACACACATCCCAGGTCCAAAAAAATTAACCGACTGTATACTTTCTAGTCTATATTGTATATCAGCTTGAGATGAGTCATTTACCCCAATAAAAGGCTAAACAACCGTTATACTTTTTTTTCTGTTATTCTTCTCCTTTTCTGTATGTCATATTAGGTAATTCAAATGATGAAAGCGTAGATAAACGCATCTCTGTCAGTTTAATCGGTTTACATTCACCAGTATTGACTGGGAACACTGTTTCAGTGAATAATCAAAATAGTACCAGTCACAACAGCAACAACAATAATACAACAAATAACAACACTACTAGTGCAAGAAACAAACAGACGAACTCTCGTATTCCTCTATTAATGGATATGCAACTGCAAGGTGCACTACTGCCTACAGTCAATGCTGGTCCAATGGCATATGCTCAAGCCTTTTTAAAGATAGAAAATCAATCGCTTTATCCTAGCTCCAAAGTTAATCGATTAAAGGAGCTATTTTTGTAAGTTTATATTTGTTTTGTTTTTTTGACGTAGAGTTTACTTTGAATTATTTATAGCGTTTTTGATAGTTTTTTTTGCTTTCTCTATCTGAAGGACTTTTGACACGAGTTTTTCTGTGCATATTGGAAGGTGGGGAAGGAGGGTCCCTATTTTTTTTTGTTGGAAAGAGGTGCTAATAAGTTACAGTACGTTGAGTTATTTATCATTGCTAGATGAAGAAGAAAAAATCGATTTTCTGAACTCTAACGAGATTCCTACTTGTTGTCTTTTGATCCCGTAAACTATCGATCTTATCATTGATTTTTTTGTTGTTATTGCTTGTGTTGATGATGAGTAGAATTCTGTTTGTATCTTGGGATTTCTTTTTTTTCTTCAATGAATTACCTTTCGACCTTTTTGCTCGATTTTGTTTGCTTCTTTTTTTAGCTGTGTATTGAATTCTTAATTGTTTGTCTAAATTTTCTTGGTATTATATTCGATGAGCTTTTTTTAATGCTTCCGTTGTGGATAGAATTTGTTTTGTTAAAGTTTCACAGTACTATATAGTAAGTAATATTTACTGATGACAACGTTTCGAGCACAATCTATTGTCGTTCACAATCATCGTATCAATCGCATCAAGGCACTCACACAACTTTCCCACTTCGTTTATTTCTTATCTCTTGATTTGATTGGTAGCAATATTTGTCAGTGTATCGGTGGCGGTTAGGACGCTCGCCGACCACGCATATGGTCCGAGGATCGATCTTCGGCCACAGACGCAGTCTTTTACCTCGCGAAACTAGTAATAAAGCTGGTAAAGAGGAAAGGTTGGGCGAGACTAAGCAACCCCATCCTGTAAAAGTAAACACCACTGCTACAGAAACTTCAAGTCTCTAGCTTGAAACCCTATGTTCCACTGGGAACTCAAAGGAATAAAACAAATTCTCCGTATTTCTGGTATGAGTGATGAGTCATTCTTATCACACAATTTGAGTATAGATTCGATGATCCAGGCAGGATTCAGTAATCAACCTCTCTCTTCACCTATGTATATTACTTTTTAGAACCACAACTCTATTCTACTTTATCATGTGATTGTATGTTTGATGCATACATTACAATCTCTGGTATTAGTGGTGAATCATTCCTATTCCATGTGTTGGATGTAGATTCGATGACCAACCTCTCTCTCCACTTACCTATATTACTTTTTAGAATTTTAACTCTCTTCCATCCTATTGTGTCGTTATGCGTTGTTAATGCCTGCAGTGTAATTGCTGGGCTTTTTTCTAGATTACTTGTCTTCGTGGGGTCAATCATTCAACACACAGCTAAATTCTTACGTTCTCATAATTTGATGACCCCCAATCTACTGGTTTCACCTATGTAGTTTACGACGCTCACACCCATAGTTGTAAGGTATTTTTTTAAATTATATTATTTTGTCTAATTGGGTCAACAATGCCTTATATATAAGGCGTCTACAGTTTTACTGTATAAGCAGGCGATATTTGAAACTGTGCATAGGATTATCAATAAAACAGGAATTAGGTTGGTGGCATTTAAACCTACAAACTCACTCACTCAAGTAGGACAAACCCTTTAGATTAAAGGACACTGTCGGTTGATCCAATTAGACAGTGAATTTTCTTGGTTTATTTTGGATGAGCTTCCTTTATCATTCATTTTGTGATTATGAATACTCCTAAGTTCTGATGATATTAGATGGTTGGAGGCAATCGGCCACAGTAAGCCTTGGACCTAGGTTTCGTGCTAGTTGGCACTCATCAGCAAGGCGTATCTGCAACCTTGAAGGAACTCATGTCCCTTCTGAGATTCTATTGTATATTTTTTAATGTCTCTTGTATGTGTTCCTGTAAGCGTTCACTATTTTCAGTGTCACCCTATCGTCTGTTTACTTGTATATTTTGTATATGGAGTTACTCATTTCTGTATATGTAACAACTGAAGGTGATCAGGGTAAACTGTTGTATGGTTCCTTTGCTTACCGACTGGAACATAGAGCTTCAGTGACTGTGTTATTGTTTATTTATGAGGTGGGATTGCTAGGCTCATGTCCAACCTTCCATTTTATTTTCCCTGGAATTACTATCAACTAGTAAACTAGGCGAGGTTGAGGAGCGCGTCGGTCAAGAGCTGAACTCCAGAGCACGTGCACAGCCGCTGGGGGGCATTCTAGTCCTGAATCATCAACTTTGTATTATGGTTCATGCGGTATAGTAGATGTGATGATTGTCAGTTTGCATTTTTTTTCTCCCGATTATTAAAGGTTATCTGCTGAATAGATTATTATTTTTATTATTATCATGTTTCACTTGAGATGTGATAAGACAATGAAATCTAGAAATCCTGTGGACATAATTGTAATTTTAAATTATTTCTAGTCTAAAATCTATACAACAGTGTACAGGTGTTTGTTTTATGCCTATTTTGATATTATGACATGATAAATATACATAACTGTGTGTGTGTCACCATTGTGAAAACTATTTGTCAAAAGACGCATGAATTGATTGATACCTTTGATGTTCTCATGAAAATGATGAGCTATACTCAAACGTATGTTATTAATGACGATGTGAAATTATTGTAACTTAAAGATAATTACAATTCTGTGATAAAATTGACACTAGTTATTCGATTGATGTGATTGAAATAGACTCAAACCAGTTGATTGATCAGTTGTACTGATAGCCAATACGAAGTGACGGCTGGGAGTGTCGTCGGTGACATAGGGTAACATGGAGGAGATTGTGGGGAATTGTGGACCCAGATGAAGAGGACAACACCAAATAGAACAAAGTGAAGCCCTATGTTCCACTCGGAGCCAAAGGGAATAATAATAATTATAATTATAATGTGGTTAAATGTTAACAAAGCATAGTATGGCAGTCAAACCTCTACCTCAACTTCATCGACTTCGAAAAGGCCTTCGACAGATAGCGTTGACCTAGAAGTAATTTGGAAACTACTTCAACACTACGGCGTACCTCAAGTCCTTGTCAACCTTATTCAACAGTTATATGACAATGGCACGTGCCAGGTGAACTGATACACAACGAAAAACTCAGTAAAGCACTCGAAGTGCTTACAGGAGTAAGATAAGACTGCCTATTATCACCTAGGATGATATTTAATTGTGGTGGACTGGATTATGCGTCAGACTGTTGGGGGGGGTGAGAAGACAGGAATACGCTGGACCACCGATAAGAAGACTCTTGAAGATCCGGATTTGATGATATATGTCTAATGTCATACAAACTGGAAGACTTGAACCAACAAACTGGTTGAAGAGGCAGTAAAAACAGGACTGTAGGTGAACACAGAGAAGACAGAGGTGATGAGAATAGCCAATCAACGGCTTCCTTCACTTATCTGGGAAGTATCGTTTCAACTACAAGCACATGGAACGGATGAAGATGTCAAAGTTAGAATCGGAAAAGCAAGATGCGCCTTCATCAACCTGAAACTAGTTTAGAAATCTCCGCCTCAGCAGGAAGAACAAGATTCGGATTTTCAACGCCAATGTGAAGTGGGTTCTCCTATACGGGTCTGAAACTTGGCGTGCACGTCATGAAAAGGATTTGCAACAGGTTGCAAACTGTCATCAACCGCTGCCTTTGACGGCTCCATACTGAAGATCAGATGGTCGGCCAGAAACAATAAGCAACAAGAAACTATGGGAACAAACCGACCAAGAGCTGATCACTCAACAACTATGAAAGAGAAAGTGGAGATGGATCGGGCATATATCGAGAAGGCCACCGAATGACATCGCACGCCAGGCCAGTGCTGTCTAGTGGGAAGGTCCTGGGTTTAAACCTGAGTCGGTGGGCGCGTACCGATGAAGAGTCCCAAGCACTATGATAAAACAGCTGGCTGTCCAGTACTCCCTGCTGGCTTTCCAATGGTTGCTTTACAGTGCCAAACAGAGTCCCTCAATATTGTGCAAAGGAACTTCGTATACGCCATCTGTACATAGTTGAATCATTGGTTATTCAGAACCTGAAATTGGACCTCTGCATTCAAAAGTACCATATACATTCACTCGCCTACCGTGGCCAGAGCAAAGTTCTTACTATAATTTTGTTTCACTTTATTATGTAGGTTTATTATTATTATTATATTGCCACTATTATTCTCATCATCCTTATTTCATTATCACTCTATTACTGTTTATTAATAACATTGCATTTTCATACAGATTTTGTATGAAACACTTCGTCGTCTCTCCACTAGCTCCTGTTCATTCTACGAAATCTACATTGTACAAAATCTTATTGAAAATCAAAACAAATGATTCGGCGAAGAGACTCTTTTCAACGAATTTATCATCAGGCTGTAAAAACAGAAAAGCCAGATCTCTGTGTACAAAAAAAGTTCGTTCAACCCCTTCAACTTTCATGGTCTTTAATCCCTCTGTGCTAAAGTATGGTAATCCCCAATCATATTTTAGCTCTACTTAAATTAAATTTTTGTCTATTCAATTTGTATACTCTTCCTTATTACGTCAATTGTTACTATTACTACTCTCACTTTTAACTGTCCCCGGTATTATTTCACTTGTTCCACTTGTCATTCTAAATCAATTCCTTTTTACAATATTAAATTCTATGCTATTAAATTCCACACAATATTGCGTAACGTTTTTATTTTATTCGATTTGTCTACGAATCTTATAATTGCACACCCTTTTTCAAGTTCTATCCATCCTATGAATTATTCTATATATGACATTAATTTGCTTTGCCACTTGACATTTAACCACGATTATAATCACAAACATTTTAGTTTTGATTGCATTTCATATTATTATTATTATTTTATGCATTCACACCTATGTTTCAATTCCCTCACCGGATATAACTTCTTAAAAACCATATATATACGATTGTAGAGCTTGATGATAAATTCGTTGAAAGAGTGTCTTCGCTGAATCATTTGTTTTGATTTTCTATACGTTACAATGGGAATTTTCCATGATTTAAAAAATCTTATTGGTTAGTCATTTTTTTCACACTTAATATGTCATCCCAACTTCTGCCCCTTTTTTTCTAATTTCCAATGAGTCACCCCTTCTAGATTACACCTAATATTACGTAATACGTTCTTCGAGGACAAATTTTACCAATATCTGATTGGTCGTCTTTGTTGTTGTAGGGATTTGATTGATTGGTTACAGGATTTCACCATGAGCTGACGTTGGCTAGAGAACCATTGGAAAATCAGCATCGCAGTACAGGACAGCCGGCTGTTTCGTCCATCTAGTTCGGGACTCTTCATCAGTACGCATCCACCAGGGTTCGAACTCCAGGATCTTCTGGTTACAAGGCTAGTGAGTTCGTAGATCATTCAGCAGCCACTGGGACCCGATCCAATGGCCAACCCATGAATTCTAACTTCTGCTAATTCACGACATAGCGTGATCGTTAGCCAATGTCTTCGGCTAGTACCTGTCCTCACACCCAACCTACTGCTGATTGTACAGCAGCTTTTGTGAAAATGAATCATTGAAAAGGGAGAATTTTTCGCCACTTCTTTACGTCTTTCTCTTGTGACTCAATATAGGAATATTTCTTACATTTGCATATTTAAGCTGAAACTGTCTTCAATTAAAAAACAAAACAACCTTAATAACTTTAAACTTTGATTTGATTGCTTTAAAAATGATTATTTTAATCAGTATTACCTTTTATTCTCTTTCCTATTTCTACTTTTGTGTACTTGTAGCGACTTCTTATCAACTTGTTTAATACTACTGACATATTATTACAATATGATGTCCAGTGTACATGAGGCTAAATATCGTGCTATGCGTGAAGCATTGGATCGTTATCGTGTAGATCTAAGTAATCTGTTAAAAGAGGAAGTAAGTTTTCATCTATATATATATTCACTTGTGTGCATTTCCCATCTCCCCGCTCGGGGGCCGCCCGCCCGTCCCACACACTCATATTTTATGTTGTCATTTCCGTTAATAATAATAATAATAATTTTTAATAGTAGTAATAATAACAGATTTATTCGGAACAGTGTTTATCTAATGTATGGAATTATCAGCAGTATTTTCTCTCTGTCCAGGATCTTCAAATATAACACTAATTGACAGCAGATCGTGTGACACAAATCTATCTGACCTGAAGTGAGAACCAATCCATTATGATATTTCTTCTTTTTCTCCTTCGAGAAATACACGATGACATTTTGTTGAATATCAATTATGAAAAGTTCAGAAGTACATTCACGAACAGTTATCGTATGTTTGTGGGATAAGCTGACATCTAGAATAACGCTTTTTCATTGATATAAGTATAAAACTTGGGCACTGTGGTAGAGTATAACTCCATTATGGATAAGATTTTATTTTGATAAATCACACAGTGTTATACAGTAATATTAACTGATGACCACCTTTCGAGCACAAACTATTGCTGCTCATAATCATATCAAGTCACTACTCACACAACTTTTTCGCTTCATTTATATACATGAGTGAAATTGATGATTAGACATTTGAATAAAATCAGTAATATAAGATAAAGTACATTCAGAAATAATAATATGAGTGTTATCAATCAAATACAATCAGATGGGAAATAAGACGAGTGTTTTTATAGTCAAAATAAATGAGTAACTTGTCAGAATGTTGTGATTTGCTTGAATTGAAATAGAATTTTGAGATTATTTATTATCCTCCGCTGATTTGCTCCTCTGATTTGACTGGTGGTAATAATATCTTCCATATCTCTGGTATTTGCGTTGAGTCATTTCTCTTGCATGTGTTGTGTTGGGTGTAGACTTGGTGAACCAGGCAGGATCCAGTAATCAGTCTCTCTCCACCTACCTATATTAATTTTTAGAATTTTAACCATCTCCCACCCTATTGTGTGGTTGTGTGCTAGTGCATGCGGTGCGATTGCTAAGTTTTTCTCTAAATTACGTATCTTCGTGGGTGGGATCAATCATTCTAGCCTTAGCTAAATTTTTATGTTCCGATAATCTCACTACTCCTGATCTACTAGTTTGACTTATGTAGTTGACCTGACTCACAGTCATTGTAAGGTATTTTGTAAATGATATTATCCTTATTTCCCATCTGATTGTATTTGATTGATAACACTAATATTATTATTTCCGAATGTACTTTCTCTTATATTACTGATTTTATTCAAATGTCTAATCATCAATTTCACTCATGTATATAAATGAAGCAAGAAAGTTGTGTGAGTAATTCCTTGATATGATTATGAGCAGGAATAAATTGTGCTCGAAACTCTGTCGCATCAGTTAATATTACTGTATAACAAACACTTTGTGATTTATCAAAATAAAATCTTATCTATAATGGAGATGTTTAATAGAAACTTGTGGATTAGTAGGTTGTAATTGTTTTGAGCAATCGCCAAAGTGAACAGTACTATTAGAGTGCATATTTTTGACTAGATTTAAACAAAATAAATAAAAGAAATTATCTGCGTTATATATTGATGTAGGAGTTTTCGATAGATAGCCCAAGTTTTAAGCAAGCCTCTGATACATATATCAGCGACCCTGTAGAGCCAATCAGGGTTTTATTTCAACTTCGGTTATCATACAGTTTCTTTCATATCTTTCACTTCTTTTTCTTCATTTCACTGGACTGTTTCGTTTTGATATTGCTTATGCTTGATGGAATTGTCACTCAGTATGTAGGTCTGGTAGGTAATTTCAAAGGAATCAAGTCCTTGAGAGAACATAATGATTGTTATTACGGTTGCATCTGGATAGAGTGAGCCTTAAAAGCATAAAAGGAAGATCAATCCAAGATACTTCTGGTAGTCACAATTAAACAGACAACATGTCTGTTTTCCGTGTTTTCGAATAAAAAAGCAAGAACAACAGTGATTTGTGCTGAATAATATGGCACCATCATTCTTTATTTCATTGGCTTCTCATCAGCTGCCTGCGTACAGCCTAAACAAATTATTATTTAGTTTATGTACAAAAACGTTTTAGCCTACTAGCAAATTTTACATGATGTCAGTTGACTGGAAGTTCCGAACTTGGTGAACAGTGCTCAGAGAATTACGCTTATGTAGTTTTTACACAGGGAGTTCAAGTTTGAACAAAGTAAATGTATGCATACAGTGGTAAAGGAGTTACGTAACAAAGACGATGTGTATCTGCAGGAGAAGTTACATCAGGAGAACAGAACGGAGGACACCCCCAATTTGCCAAACATAAACCGAAAAGCCTACATCTCAAGGGAACAAACGCTTACAATAGTGCCAGTACCAATCATCTCCTTGATACAGGTCATGAGATGGAAATCGTAAAGTCCTTTAAAATTATCAATGAACAAAGGAGCTTGATTCTCCTCAAGTTTGCCGAGGAAACTTCTATCAAACTCCGGAAACCCGGTTTATGTGTTCAAAAAGAAGCAGTTGTCAGTCTTTTCTCGCCCTGGTAACTGGACGTCTTTATTCTCTCTTTCTTTTGATTACGTAATCTTAGGCTTTAACCTCACCCTTCTATGATATAGTGTAATTTTGCTTGTCTTTTGTTTCTATGATTTGAGTTGAACTCAGTACATTGTTACCCAATTAATTAGTTACTCGTCATCTTACTCACTTCTCGTCTTTATTACGTAACACCTTTACCATTGTATGCATACATTTACTTTGTTCAAACTTGAACTCCCTGTGTAAAAACTATACAAGCGTAATTCTTTGAGCACTGTTCACTAAGTTCGGGACTTCCTGTCAACTGACATCATGTAAAATTTGCTAGTAGGTTAAAACTTTTCTGTACATGAACTAAATAATAATTTATTCAGGCTGTACGCAGGCAGCTGATGAAAAGCCAACGAAATAAACAATGATGGTGCCATATTATTCAACACAAATCACTGTTGTTCTTGCTTTATTCAAATTCATCAAGGCGAATAAATGTATAGAATTTCGTGTTTCCATTTTTATCTTGAATCCTTTCTCTGAAATATACAATTACAAATGGGAATATATATATATATATATATATATATATATATATATATATGAGAGATAGAGAGGGAGAGTTCTGTTTAACCAACTTGTGAAATGCTAGGCATTGCTACATTAACATTAACAACACTAAACAGCTGATACCTCGGTTAGTATTCCCATGCTGAGAAAGCGAAGACTTATTTCTCTATGCAAAAGGCAGTACTACTAATAGAAATTATAACCATTTATATATAGCCAATAAATTACTAGCAATAAAATTTCCTACTGACTTGGCCTTCAGTCTGCATTAAGGTCAAATGTCTAGTTTAGGGGTCATGTAGTAAAAATTGGCTCATATTGCCTTCTCCTATTGTGCTAACAAAGCTGCCTATTGAATTAATTGGACAATTATTGTTAATATATGTGTAAAACTTGGGCACTGTGGTAGTAAGTAATTCCATATAAGTTTGTTTATTAGATGTATCACACAGTGAAACAGTATTATTATTTACTGGATGACGTTTCGAACAAAATTTATTATTCATAATCATATCGCCAATTATAATCACACGACTTCGAAACTTGAATTTTATAGTTTTCTTTGTTCTCTCCCACTTGTCGTCGTAGGGGTAGTAGAATTTTCCAGATGTCCGACTGGACAGGTGTTGAATCATTCCTGTTACATGTAATTGCAGTTGATTCGATGAACAAAGCTTCTCTTATCAATCTCTCCCTCCACCCTGCCAAACCATTAGATTTGAAACTGTCATCTTATTCCACCCCCTTATTGAATGGTTGTGTGTAATTGCATGTAATGAGTGCTATAGCTGAACTATTCTCCAGATTTCTTATCTTATTCGGGTCAAACAATCTAGATTTTGCTGCTAGGTTTTCATGCTCGGCTAGTCTGACTGCCCCTGCTTTTCGACTTTGACCTATGGATTTGACCTGACAATCATTTTGGCAGGGTATTAGATAAACTAAATTGTTTTGTTCTGTTGGCTCCACAGGATTGATCCTTTAACCGACAAAGCTTGTTTCTAATTGAGTTTGTAGGTGGTTTGAATGCCAGCCACTTTTATTCCTGCTTTGTTAAGAATTCTGTGTAAGGTTTCCGAGGTTGCTTCCTCGAATGCAATTACTACTGGTGATTTAGATTCTTTATTGTCGGTGTTGTCATTATCTTGTGCATGTTTGACATGTATGTCGTCATTAATAATATTATTATCACCATCACTACTACTAATATTATTTATTTTTACATTTCCCTACATACTTTCTGATTAATTCATTCAAGGCTTCGCTTATATGCCTCTCTTCCTGTCTTAGATTTTCCTTGGTACTCTGTTATTTAAACATTTCACCAATCGTATTTTCACTGACATAGGATGGAATGATCGGAAGTTAAAGGATTCTGTGGAGCCAACAGAACAAAACAATTTAGTTTATCTAATACCCTGCCTTCAATGATTGTCAGGTCAAATACATAGGTCAAAGTAGTAAAGCAGGGGCAGTCAGACTAGCCGAGCATGAAAACCTAGCAGCAAAATCTAGATTGGTTGACCCGAATAAGATAAGAAATCTAGAGAATAGTTCAGCTATAGCACTCACTACATGCAATTACACACAACCATTCAATAGGGGGATGGGATAAGATGACAGTTTTAAAATCTAATGTTGTGGCAGGGTGGAGGGAGAGATTGATAAGAGAAGCTTTATTTATCGAATCAACTGCAATTACATGTAATAGGAATGATTCAACAACTGTCCAGTCGGACATCTGGAAAATTCTACTACCCCTACGACGACAAGTGGGAGAGAACAAAGAAAACTATAAAACTCAAGTTTCGAAGTCGTGTGATTATAATTGGCGATATGATTATGAATAATAAATTTTGTTCGAAATGTCATCCAGTAAACAGTAAAACTGTTTCACTGTGTGATACATCTAATAAACAAACTAGTATAGACAAGTATCGGCTGTGTTGAATTCCAGTATGTGCAGGAAGCCTTGGACCTAGGTTTTGTGCTAGTTGGCAGTCACCTGTCAGCAAGACGTATTCTACAACCTTGAAGGAGCTCATGTCCCTCCTTCTGTGATTCGATGCCGCGTCACCCAACGCTGCCTGCAGTAAAAGACGTTACCACTGAAGAGTTATTCGGGCTCGCGATTGACACTAGTAACTAGTGTGATGTATCTAATCCTTTGGCTGATGCAGACTGACACCTAACATTAACAATTCAAAGTGCACCGTGATGGCAAGCTACCCAGTGGAATGGTGGCCACATTGTAAACCTGACTGACTGACAGAATTCAGTCTGCATCAAAACAAAGGACTAGCCAGACACATCACACCAGTTACTGACTAGTGTCCAATGAAAGCACAAATAGGGTGGTGTCCTAATCACCCCGTGTTCCCTTTTTGTTGTAAGATTGTGGATTATCAATGGAATCTGTAAAAAAAATAAACAAGACAATATTCAACACATTCATCTGTGTTTGTTTCGTTTTGTATTTTGTTTTGTTTTTTTGTTTATTTGTAAATCACTGACTTGTCATTTTCATTTCATATAGTATCTGCTCTAAACATTTTTTGTTGATTTCGCAAATAATTTCAGGCAGTATTTCTCTTCATTTTCTATTATTATTATTGACTAAATAAAATCTCAGCTGGCTTAATTTCTAGAAACAATTTAACTTCTATGTTCATTTAAGTGTGTGTGTGTGTGGCTTAGTGTGTATATGCATGAACAACAACAACAACAACAGCATAACGCTACTACTAATGATCGTTCGCTTTATGCCTATATGATAGATACAATAACTATCATCTTACTTATGCATAAAAGTGAATTATATTCACTTAGATATGATCTGATTTCAATGTCATAATTCTTCGGTGCAGAAACTTATTCATTCATTCATTCATTCCTATTGACATAATCCGATTCTATGTATAATAATAAACTATGATTTATATCTGTAGTGGTGTGTATTGGTTCGTGGTATTGCCTTATTACAATATACACACATACCTATATCAGGTTTCTTATATTGAAAATAGACAAAGGGGGGCGGTTTCTCAATGTGAATTTTTAATAATTGAAAACTGTGTATTTAAACTATTATAATCGATATAACCAATTCACTTTAGATTAGATTTAGGGTGAAGATAAAGTATCATACATAACTAAAGGCAAGGTTTTTCAAAAGCTGTGACCTTCAAGAACCGATCAGATACAGGGAATGCTGTGCCTGCCTTTTTGCGCTTGGAGAAGGTAGATTACAGTACTTCACTTATTCTCTAGGTACTTTTTCTGTAAAACTATACTGTTAGGTAGGGTATCGATACATGATGGAATCTAACTTTAAACCCCAACCAAACCCCTATGACGCAACACACCTGGAAATCATCTCTGATTGTTTCTGTGTTGTTTAGGTTCATTTCTAATCAGTGATTAATTTGCTTTTCAGTATATGTAGGGGATTAAGCTATAGCAACAGGTAGTTGGGTAAACAGTCAGGTTGGGTTTTTTTCTGTTTTGTTTTTAGTAATCTGTCGTCTACTTCATGATTATCATTATTATTATTATTTCAATGCGCTTATCCACAACAGGAAACATACGGAATCCTTCGAAGTAAAGACGGGAGTAAGACAAAGCTGCCTACTATCGCCAATGATTTTCCTGATTGCATTAAATTGGATAATGTGACAGACAGCGGGCAATGAGGAAACAGGCATGAAATGGACTCACACAAAAAACTTGGAGGATCTTGACTTCGCTGATGATATATGTCTGATTTCCCACAAACTGGAAGATATGCAAGCGAAAAGCAACAAGTTGGCAGAAGAAGCATCCAGAGAAGATAGGACTTCAGGTGAACATAGAGAAAACAGAGGTGATGAAGATTCCTGGACAAGAACAACAACAACAGACAACAATCAGCCAGCATAAATGGAAGGAACCTGAAAGAAACAACCTCCTTCACCTACCTACCTACCTGGGAAGCATCGTTTCAACTACAGGCGGAACTGACGAGGATATCAAAGCAAGAATCGGAAAAGCAAGACAAGCTTTCACTACTCTCAAGTCTGTGTGGAGGTCAACAGCACTCAGCATCAAAAATAAGATCCGGATTTTCAACTCCAATGTGAAGTCAGTGCTACTTAACATACGGATCAGAGACTTGCACTGCGCGTCATAAAGAGCATCTCAAACAAACTACAGACCTTCATTAACAGTTGTCTTCGCTCAATACCACTCAAGATCAGATGGCCAGCCGGCCAGAAAAGATCAGCAACAGAGATCTCTGGCAATGAGCGAACCAACTCAGCAGGAACCGATTGTGAAACAAATAGGCAGGAAGAAATGGAGATGGATTGGCTGGCCATACTCTGAGGAAACAATCCATCAAGTGACATCACTAGACAAGCCATTGCTCGAGTGGAACCCGAAAGGGAAGCGGCGAGTTGGTCGTCAGTGCGAGGGTGGGTGACTTGGAGGAGGTGATGTGAAGAGGAGATGGAAACGTGTGGGCAGACATGGAGCCAGGTGAAGACTCTAGCAGAGAACCGAACGCAATGGAGACGCACGGCTGAAGCCCTATGTTCCTCTGGAATTAAAGGAAACAATAATAATAATATTTCAATGCGCTTATCATTCACTCACTCACTGATTGATCATATTGTTCTATATTTGTTTATAGCAGAATTCTCAGCATATATCAGTTACAGTTAAATTTAAGGTATTGACATGTTCATATCCAATAAAACAAAAATGAATTATCGCATACTGAGATAGTTTGATTGAATACGATTACTGATAAACACATTCAAGTAACAGTTGTGTTGATTTCTATCTACCAGTGATGAATCATGTCTTCAGTGCACGCCATACAATTAAACTGTCCAATAAAAGAGGAAAAGAATTAGCTGTAGAGTCTTATATGAGTAATGTAACTACTGTTAGTCTTCACCGATTGATATGCTTGAAAAATTCTGACCCACTCTCTTGGGTGTGTGTGTATATCGGTGATCACCAAGACAAATTTTATCTCCCTTTCCGTATCCATCTGCGTCTATGGTTCAGCGATAAAATGCTCGCCAACCACGTCTCACGTGGTCCGGCGTTCGACGACCGGCCACAGACGCACTCCTTAACCTCGTTAAGCTGATATTAGTAAGGTCGGTAAGGAGGGGAGGTTGGTCGTGAGACTAGCAACCTCACTCTGTAAAAGTAAGACGACTACTGCTACTGAAAATTCAGAGCTCTAGCTGGAAACCCTATGTTCCATTCAAAATGCAAAGCAATAAAAAGTTAAGTAAAGTCTTTTTGCATCTATGTGGATTGTTAGAACAGAGGCGGTTAATTGCGATTTGAATTTCCTCATGTAGTTGGTCTTATATATTACTTGCTTAGAGGAATGCTAATATATCAGATGTTGTGTTTGACTGTCTTAAAGGTGTTTTATCGATTTTTATTGTTATTATTATTATAAATATACCCTTGGGTTCCGAGTGGAACATGGGGAGGGGCTTCAACAGTATATCTCCACTTAACCATATTCGTTGCAGTCATTTTTAGCCTGCTCCACGGTTACTTTATAAGCTTTCATTCCCTCACATGATCTCCTATATGTGTCTCCCTTTTGGATTTTTCAAGCGAAGGCCTGGCATGTATTTTCACATGTCCAACCCGTCTCCATTTCCTTCTGTAGATTTGTTGAAGGACAGGTCCTTAGCTGGTTCATTGTCTGAGTTCCTTGTAGTTTATCGTTTCCGGCTGACTAACTGATTTTCACTATGAAGCCAACGAAGGCAGCTGTTGGGAATGATTCTCATGACGCCCTAAGTCTCTGAACCACATACAGAAGCACTGATTTAACATTAGTGTTGAAGATATGTATCTTATTCCTAGTGCTGTCAAGGTAACATTGTAACGACAGAAGATAAGGGCCAGGCAACAGATCGTTTATTGAGGAAATCAAGAGATATTTATATATTTTTATGTACATTATTATTATTCGTTATTGCTAGCAGAGAAACAGCGTCTCCTGATTGGTTGTTTTCTCGCTGAAAGTTAATCTGTCATGTTTTTGTGGCCATTTCCCTGAAGATCAGACCATATATATCTGCGAATTGTATCCGCCCACACGCAAAGTCTGCTGTGATTGGTTGTTGAGTTAGTCTTTGTTCCTGTTTTTTTTTCTCATGACCAAGATTTGGAACGTAAACATTGGCACGCAAATTGCTGCTGTCTACCAATTTCGACTAGCAGACAGCTCTCACCACAACAGTAATCCACCAAAAATCATTTGATCAAGGAGTATGAATCCATACAGTTGAGAGTAAACTGTGTGGCTGATTTCTGTCTTCAAGATAGATGTTTAGTGACATAGACAAATTATCATTTTTCTTTTTTCTTCTTCTTTATTTTCGCCTCAGGTAATTGTTGATGAAAAAGAATTACGCATTGGACCGAAATCATCATCATCATCGTCACCATCAACATCATCATCCTCAAGTCAGCCTACTCCATGATAGATGGAATCGACGACATTCACCCCAGTACTCGAGATATAGTAAAAAAAATTCTCTGATTTCTTTTCACTCTCTATGCCTTTATCTATTGTCTCTCTCTCTCTCTATTTCTGCTCTACCTCCCTCCACACATCATTCTTCATGCTTCTGTTGTACAATAAATTTGATGTGCTGTGTTGAAAATATCTTCATTCACTTTTTTATCGAGAACTTGACAACAAACACAATCAGTGTATGCACCATTTTTGTCTGTTTGTTTGTTTGTTTCCCGTCTCTTTCACCGAAAAACAACAACAGCAGCAGCAGCATTCCATTCCATGTTTGTGCATTAATCATATCCCTCCCTTGATAGAGCAAGTAGTATAAACTACAATTTCTACTTTCTTTGTAAAAAAACAAACAAACAACTCATCCCCCCTCCCACTTGTCTTCAGTATTAACATATAGTACAACTTATTATCAACAATACTACTGTTAACAATACTAACATATAACAAGAGTTATATACTATTATTTATTATTATTATTATTTTGATACATTCACTAACAGGAGGTTTATCACCATTATTTTGCGCCTTTTTCGTATATTCGAATCATTCATTATACTGCCTATCTGTCTCTGCATCTTATCAGCTTATCAAACAAAGTTTATGAAACAGTTTATCTTTTGCGTGTGTGTGTATGTGTGTTTATGTTCACTTTGGTTCTCCTCTCCTCTTGTCTATTTTTCCTTTCCCAATGTGAATATGCTTTTCTCTTGTTGTTGGTGGTGTTGTTCTAACAGCATGCTGTTGAATAAACACAACGTGAGCAACACAAACACACACACGCACACACGTTGAATTTTCTATCGAAATCTCCTTTGCTACATTTTGTATATTTGTTTGTTGTTATTATCCTTGATTGCACAGAAAATACATAAGAGTATAAGTAGAGAGATAAAGCTGATGAGATGAGGAAGAGGAGGAGGATGGAGCGGGAAGAGACGGGGCGCGGGAGCAAAGAAAAAAGACAGAAGAGTAACTGTTTCATTGTCTCGATGACCTGTGTGTTATTATAACAATAATAATAATAATGATTCTTTTTGTCTTGTTAAGCTGATATAGGAGTGGTGTATATTACAACACACAAGATTTCCTTTCTTTTGTAACCCTTCTCTTTTGTTGTTGTTCACTTTCACACGTTAAGCAGCGTCTACTTTTGATGATTGTGTTTTGTGGCTTTCTGTATTTTATTGTAAACAGACAAACAAACTGACCAATTAATATTGTATATTTATAAATTAATTGTATAACAAGTGTTAACAATATTTATATAAACGATAGCAGCAATAATAATAATAATAATAATGTTCAAGTGTTGGTTTGCAAGGATTTGATTGGTTTCAGGATTTCATCATGAGCTGACATCGGTTAGAGAGGACCATTGGAAAATCAGCTGTTTCGTCCTAGCGCTTGGGACTCTTCCATAGCAGTACACACCTACTGCCAGGGTTCGAACCCAGGGCCTTATGGTTACAAGGCAAGCGAGCTTGTAGACCATTCAGCAGCCACTAGGAGGGACCCAATCCAATGGTCTATTTGGGAAATTCCAAATCCTATCAGTTCATGATAAAATCCTGAAATAATAATAATAATGTCACAATTTATTTTGTGTTAATGAAATCATCATCATCATCGTTAATAATTGAGAATTGAATTGTTTGTGAGGAGAGTAAACGAAAAATCAAATTCGTAATTCACCAAATTAATTCACGATTTACACAGTCCGAAGAGTTGAAATCTTATCATAATTTCCGTTTAGAAATCGAAATTATTCAGACGACTATATGTGATCTGTTTGATATGATAAGTGGTAATGAAGCGAGCAAGCAGGTGGAATTCTATGTATGATACAATGTAGTCCTGGTTGATTGAGATAAGCGGCTAGTAAGCACTACACTGGTTGATATTGAGTAATATTCTTTAATTAACACTGTCATATTCTTTGCTTTCGACACCCACGTATCTATTAAACATACTAATTTTGGGTCATTCACTTGCAACTTAGAATACATTGCCCCCTTCTCAATAGCCCCTAGTACTTCTAGTCTGATAGAAGAGAAAGAACACACATTATACTGTCTGAAATTCTTTCTCCTTCTTCTTTCTGGACAGTACCTCGTCCAGTATCCTGCTTCGCTACAACCAAAGCATCGGTCTTTCCGGGCACTCATTCGTACTGCCACTGCAAATCTTCCACTTTCTGTTCCCATTAGTTGAATTGCGGTGGCTCTATTGCAGTTACCATTGTGCTCGACAGCTGTCTCGTCATCTTCGCCAACTCACCGATGTCCATGGGTTGTGCAGCGTTAACCAGTTGTAGTTGCTAAGAAATAGGGATGAACGGAGATGCCAATAAATGCGACTCCAACTGTTCATCTAATGTAAGGAGTGCACGACTTAGTAGATTAGTCAGCTTCATCGACAACATTTGCGGGTCTCCATTCGGTAATAGCTTCGTGGCACGGAACTGCTGCATCGCCAGCTGCCTGGATATGGAATCTTCATTTTCCGGAGGCAGTGACACCAGCTGTAACTATAAAAGACGACAGACTTGGTAAAGGAATGTTTATCAGCTAATTGGGTATCTCTAAATAGCGAAATTATTTACACCTTATCTTCAACGCACAATTTGCACAGATCTTCGTGTTGTGTTAATTCTGATCTTCATACTGTGTTTATTTGTGTTCCTTTCACGTCTCCCATGTATCTCTGCAACGCTGTTTCATTTGCTTTCTCTGACATCAAATCTATTTCCTTGCGGACAAAAGTCTCTTGATACACTCACTACTGATAAATCTTATCAGTAGCGCGCGCCACACAACTTCTCGTCTCAACCAGTCAGTAAGTATAATCTTCTGCAAGAGAGTAAACCGTGTTTCGTTTTACAATAAACACGGTAATTATCGTATTTAAATTTGTAGATTCATACAAAGAGGAAAATATTCAAGACATAATTAGAACAAAGAAAAGGTCAACACAGAAATTGAAATGAAAAACATTTATTTCCCTATACGAATTTAAAACAAGCAACAGAAGTTAATAAAGCAAGATTTAATGAATTCATCAAATTTCGGTGAAACTCTTCCTCATCTGGATACTCTACATACAGGGATCATATAAAATTAACATAAAATGCATTATATGGTTCAATTACATCACTTAAATAAACAATTAGTTATCAGTGAGTGGGCGTCGGTGGCTTAGTGGTAGAACACTGGCCAAACGCTCAAGTGGTCTAAGATTCGATCCTCGGTCAACTCACTCCTAAATCTCGCTTAGCCGATAATAAGCCTCTTAAAGAGGGAAGGTTGAGCGTGAGACCAGCAACCCCATCGCGTACAAAATGAACACGACTGCCACTGAAACTTCGAAGCTCTAGCTTGAAGACCTTCGTTCCACTGGGAAAGAAAATAAATAAAAAGATCAGGGAGTGAAAGAACTTGAATATATCAAGAATTTCGAACTAAACAATATTGATAATAATAGTGATGCAAATAATAGTAACAGCAACATCGACAATAATAATAATAAAACGAGTTAAGATAATGTTAATGATAAAAAATAGTTTTAAATGAATCAGAAATAGTAATAATTAGGGGTAGAATAAAAAATAATAATAATATGTAAAACACATTACCATGGTGGATTACCAGAGTGACTACCATTTCGTTTTGTACACAGAGATCTATCTGGTTTATAAACTCTAATTGCAGCACAAGACTCCTCCACAATTGCAAACATTCTCCTGTTTGTTTGTCTGCTGGCTGACAACAGTGAATGACTTGACAGTGCATCAGTATTACGTTCGTAATATACAAGATGCTTTGTTGTTATTCAACTTTGAGGCACTTTGACTTCAGCTGTTTTTAACCAAGTTGGCACAGTGGTTAGGACTCTCGCTGACCATGCACATGGTCCGAGGTTCAACCCCCTGCCAACGCACACCTGATATCTATGGTCGGCCTGCAAAATTTGGCCTACCGATATCACATGCTGAGAATTCCATGCTTGTACCAAACCAAAAAAACGGTGTGGAATCAAGCTGTAATCAAAATAAAATAAATAAATCAAGCGAGTAGACAATCAACTTTCTGTATGACCAATACATTTGCTTCTATAAACACACATACACAATGATTTACGCGGTTTGAAGTGTCGAGGATCGGCGACTGCCCTCTCACAGATTGTCGAAGCACATCCGCTAGGTAGTGTTAAGGAACATGAGTTTCACATAAATGGAGAGAATAAACAAGGAAATATGTGTTTGTATCTCATTTTTATTCATCATTGATTACGATTTGAGTTGGTATTCGTTTTGTGAAATTTAAACCACAGTCATCAAATTCATCTGTCGCTTCCATGGGAGGGTTATGTAGTGGTGGTGGTGTGATACAGACAGTGTGTGCCAACGGAATATAATTCTCACATATTTCAACAGTTCAATTCGACATTAGCAATGAATACTATATTAATGTATCCTTTAATAATATAATATTTCATGTTGTTTGATGTAAACCGAAATATACGTATATAAAGCACTTGGACAGGACAATATACACATTTTCACAGCTTCGTTCCTATCAATTACAAAAGAAATTTAGTGAAGACCCTCAGCCACAGAGTTAGAGCTATATGCTCAGAAGAAGTAATTGAAGATGAATTAAGCATGGTATATGATACTTTGATCGAAAATGGCTATCCCGACAAATTTATCAAGAAACATATGACAAAGAAAGCAGAAAAGGACTACTCACTTTCTGTAAACAAGAAGCCACTTTATATACGACTACAATTCATGGGCGATATACCAAGTGAGATAATTACAAGGAAATTAAGAAAATCAGTTCAAAGAACTTTTAATGCTGGCGAACTACACGTATTATTCTCTACACGACCGATGGTGCTACCTCGACTGAAAGATGAAGTACCTAGACTAGCCACTTCAAATTGTATCTATCAATTCAACTGCACTTGTGGAGCGAGTTATATTGGCCGTTACTCTAGGAACTTGATTTTTCGTGCTCGAGAACATATCCCACTATGGCTAAGTAAAGGTGTAGTTAAAACTATTAACAGCTCGATATTAGACCATCTGGTGCAAACCAGTCACAAAGCCAGCGTAGAAGAATCCTTCTTTATAATATACCGGGTGCCTAACAAATTACCAAAATCATCGAAGCACCGCATGCTCCAAACAGTAGAGGCTATTGCAATTCGCCTCAAACAACCAGTGCTCTGTGTCCAAAAGAAACAAGTCCAGCCCCTACTACTGCCCTGGCCCTCAGTAGAAACTATAAACTCATGAATTTGTACTATTACCTTTCCTAATTCTTCTGACATTCAGCTTATTTTATGTTGATGCTATTCAGCTGTAATCTATCAATATTACTGATTCGATGTTATTTAAACAACATTAATGTTGTTCATAACACTAATTCATTCATTCACTATAATGTATTTATAACTGTAGAGCCTGATGATGAATTTATCGAAAAGAGTACTCTTTGTTCAGCATCCATTCTTTGTAATACATATATATCATCAATGAAAATATACATTTGGCTTCCGTGTTTTGTCTTCTGTTGTTACAATGTGACTCCTAAAGTCTTCTCAGTTAAGTGCTACTCCAGCTAGCATTGTAACGACAGAAGACAAGGGTCAGGCAACAGATAGTTTATTGAGGAAATCAACAGATATTTATATATTTTAATGTACATTATTATTCGTTATTTTTAGCAGAGAAGCAACGTTGTTTTCCTGCTGAAGGTCATATCTTCTGTCATATCTTTGTTGCCGTTTCTTAGACAATCAGTCCGGTGATATATCTGCGAATCGTATCCACCCACACGCTAAGTCTGCTGTGATTGGTTGTTGGGCTCCCCAAGGTTAGGCTTTGTTCTTGTTTTTTCTCATGACCAAGATTTGGGACGTAAATTGTTGTTTACAGTTTTGGCTTGCAAACAGCTCTCACCACAGCAATGCATGAACAGAGTTAGCTGACAACTTGTTTGTTACCTGATGTACATTCAAATTTTTTTAATAGTAATTAATAACAATAATAATATAGTTTGCTTTATTCCAATACAGTACTTATGATACAGTGTGGGATTTTTAACATTTCACACAATCATTACTGCATCGAATTTACTCGACAACAGAAAAAACAAATATAAAAAAATAATATTACACAATCGATAATGGCAGTTTATTTGGTAA